ATACGAGTTGCTGGATGTGAGCATCTAATTCTACTCCCCGAAAAGACCTTTTATTTTCCCGTGTAGAGGAGAGAATATGGGGTAATTGCTCATTACCTGCTCCAGCGTCTCTCTCATCTTCGTCTTCTTTCATCCAGAATCAGTAAATGAGCTAGGGCAGAGAAATATCTTCTTCTGTGAGATGAAACAGGCAAACCGCGGGGCTATGGATCAGTGGGAGGAGCTTAGGCATCAATCAAGGAATAGTAAAATATTAACGGTAGCCGCGAGGGAAAAGATGCCGTAATGATGGAAATGTACATCGACTAGTTCTGTTATCAGGCTTACAGTTACGTCAGTGGGGAGTTTATGCCCATCAACAAAGTAATCTGTCAGCCGGGAATTCCCACTCTTCCTTATCTGTTGATGATAAGATCATGTTACTGAGGATAATGAGCCGGTAAATTGCAGGGCATTTCGTGAAATTAGGGCACAGTCCAGCCAAGACGGTGTCCAACTTTCCGATGGACGAGACTGCCCGAAACTCCCCGACCAGAGAAATACTTGTTGGGCATAGGTCCAACTCGCGAACACACTTCGTGCTGTTGTTTAATCAATCGGAGGAGTTTTCCAATTTTCCTTCGCTGTTGGGAAACAAAAGTGACTCGCTTTTTAACCACGTGTGCGGGCTCCTCGGAGGAACAGAAGATTGGAAAACTGTATTGTTTGATTAAATGAAACTACGAAGTGCACGCTCGAGTTGGACCTCCGGCCCACATATTGGCCTGACCGCGGGTTATGGGCAATCTAGTCGAGGCTGTCAAGGCAGGATCCAATCCTGGGCCGGTGGGCGGTGTTGCGAAACTCCGGGGTTATCGACCAAGAATGACTAAATCGCCTGAAGATATGAAAGGAAATAACATGGAATCTGTTTTTCCTCCCCATACTTGATTACACTATCTCGTCATTTGGACAGAAAACGGAAAGGTCGCGCGGTTGGGTATGCCTGACAAGAACCATTATTGAATTTTTATTTTAGTCTCTACATCAGTGACGTCATTGCCTTCCCCGACGCTTCCGGCGTCCTTCAAGTTTGGCCCGCCTGCGCCAGAGACTCGCTCCCTGCTCTGTTTCCTCTGTAATTACACGGTACAGGCAGGGTTCTCCTCGGCCAGCTCAGATGTGGCAGGTACGGACAGAATACGAATGCTCCATGGACATTGATGTTGCTGCACTTAAACTTCAACCGCACTTCCACCAGTTGCTGGCGCCATGTGCCTGTAAAGTTACGTGAATCGAGCCTGATGAAATCTGTAATACATGTACATGCAGGAACAGCCGTAGATACCGAGAAACTTGATTGTCGCGTTGGAACGTAAGTTGGCGCATGACATGACCACATTTTCATTCCCCTCAATTGACCACCTTAATGAAATGAAATCGTGAATGTGTGGCCGGGAGAATTTGGTCTCCCGAACGCCCCCCAACCTTGCATGGTTAGGAGTAGCCGAGTCAGCAGAACACCAGCCAACCATTCGGGAGTACAGTTCTTTGATGTGATCTTCAAAGTAGAAAAGCGTACTTTAGAGGATTAGTAACTAAAGCTACTTTACATGCTAACGTAACATAAAAAAATAAGTGAACGCATAGAAGAATCTTATTCTTTGTATAGCCACTGTGACAAAGTGGATATATATTCATATAACTTTCTATACATTAATGTTACATAGTGACGTTATATGTATATATATATACATATGGTAAGATACAAGTACGAGTATTTGTTTACAGAACAAGCAGAAATCCAACCTGAGTTTTCGTCGGCACACTACAGATTTGTATGTTTTCATATTCTAGTAACATCGCTGAATAACGGAGAGTGTTCTATCTATAGTACAAACTGCATTTTTGACACTTAAAGGCCATTTGTCCCTGTATCTACGTCAGTTCCCCCCCCCCTCAAAAATAATGATCCACTTCAACAAAACAGGCGCACCAAACTTGCTCGTTAGTACGTAGTTACTGTGCTCTTTGTCATTGTCACTATAACAGCGATCCACATGACATGCAGTTTTCTCCTTTCTTCCAAACGTTTTCCTAGAAGACCACCGTTTCCTTCTTCTTTGATAGGTTAGCATCATTTCCGTGGATTGCATGAGGCTTTCTGGCGCAAGTGAAATGTTATACAGTGTGATTTTCTTCAGTATCCCGACATTTGATTAAAGAAAAAAAGGTAATTTACCCGATTCTCTCGCGAAATTGATGCCTTCATCAACTCACGTCAGCAGGCGGTCTTACATAGAATTTGCTCATTAGGACCGTATCAAAGTTCTTTATACCCGCTAATCAGCATTCTGTGGCCTAAGGGCGTATCCGGACGTGGGCGGAAGAGCTAGAGGTGGATGTGAATGGTCTGAACTACCTTACAGGACATGGTCGCCACATATGTGAAGGACACATGTACAGGTCGTTTTGGACATACAGTTCACTACAGGTCATTTTGAATTCGCTACGTGGCAAGACATTTCGCTACATCGGAAAAGTTTTCTCGCGTTTTCTTTGTCCAGCTCATCTACCTTGATGTAATTTACGGACAAGCATAAAACGTATTTTTACATTTCGTTCCTGTAACTTGTTTGGTTTTTCTCTTTGTTCTCTGAATTATGCTTGTATTGGCGATAACTATCCTTTTACCAACATCTCTTTTTAAAGTTAGTAATAGTTAAATTCATCACAACATTTCAAAACAACAAGAAGTTATTTGGTGGAAAATACTGCAACAATATTACGGCATTGGGATCAGACCTGGCGATATACGTTACTATCAAACATCGGTAGATGTTCCCATAACAAATTGTAGGAAAGAAAAATGTGCTACAAGAGAGAAAACATCTCGAAAATCTTGAATGAAGAGTCCTTCACGTTGGTGAAAACCTTAACAACCTATAGGTTATCTTACATATATGTACATAACGTTTTATATGCCATTTCATTGCACAGGGAAATTCAGTACATATATGAATTGTCACGAATGCGTCAAATGTGCAGCAGCGCCGCATAGCGATTCTATTGATAATCTGCAGACCACACTTGGCCCAGGTTTACCAAAGTGATGAATTCAACGTAAGTTTTCGTCTCACACATTCCCATTGAGTTGTTTAATACAAGGCTACCTGGGAAACGATAACTTCTTCACCCACTCAGCTATATATTTCCAGCGTACTGATGAATTGTGAATATGAAAATTAATTTGAGTTGGTTAACCTGAAATTACAAACTGACGAAATTATCAACCATATTTTCAACGTCATTCTGAGGATGATATAATTTTTTTTATAAAAACAGTTTCGCGCGGTGTGAACCGGTTGTCAGTAGTAAAAGAAAATATATCTTACCAATATACGTTTTTGGTCACGCGAAATTTGCTAGTCAAGCTATGACCAATTACTCTATATTACAGTTTCGTAGATAGTGGACACATTTCTATAACCAACATCGCTTGGTATACTGAAAGCTAAGGGATGTGCAAATTGTCCACAGTAGATACACAAAAGGCAGCAATTTTGTATAAAGACAATGGAAAGATATAATTTGCACATGTAGATATTGACCACACAGATCCAGCACACACACGCGTACAACACAGGACACAGCAACAAGCAAACACAGGAACAAGAAGCAAATATATTTCATCTGTATTACCAGTACCATATAGGTTACTTGAGATGACAAGGTAAATATTGATCCACATTAGTGGCACATGAATCATTTTTGTTGCCGATTATGGTAAGGTACATATAGATATTGTATAGCCGGCTACCGCTCGTCAATACCGTTTTCGATGTTTTGGGGAAGTTAGAATATTGATAATTTGGGACATTTAATTTGGATAATCGAGCCAGAATAGAGACGATTTGGCAGGATTAATTTTTGTAGCCCATGTTTAAGAAGAACAACAATTTTACCTTCCCGCAGAGGCCTAGTGATCTTATAATGGTAAACCAACTGAAGTTGGGTCCAGCTGTCAACGTGATTTTACTGTACATTGATAACAAAGGGCTTCCGTGTATAGCGTAACCCTGTCCGCCAGGCGGCGCTGCTTCCGTAAGTTATACTAGTACTAGTAACTTAGAAGCAGCGCCTCCTGGCGGAGAGGATGCATATCGCCCGCCGCTTGTCTCTCACATCGGTGTCTCCTCCAGGGAGGACCCGCGTTTCAGCACCGTGTGCCTGGTGGCCCCGCCAGCCACCGTGCCCGGCTCGCCGAAGTCGATGACGTTATGCTGAAACGTCGGTTTGCCCGAGCAACACGAGAACACCTGCCGAGGAACAAGGAATGTTCAACAACAACAAAACATGTATTCTCCCATCTTTACTGCGTAAGGGTTCGGTAACATGCGACATGCGACAGGTATAAGACAACAAATTGGCTCCGAAGGGTGTTCTTGGAATAGTCGTAAAAGTCGTTGTACAAAAGTCGGCTGTCTTGTGACACGATGGTCGACGGAAAAGGTTAGTGTAAGATCCTAGTTAGTATAGCCTCGCACCTTGCAATACATCATGACCGTCGCTGGCGCTTGAATAGATGTAGTGCTCGTTTCTTAAAAGTATGATGGACGATATAACATGTTTGTTACCCCAGTCAGGATTAGAATGGATTCCTAATAAATAGCATATCAACTGAGCCATTAAAAAGGGTTTGATATGACTAAAAACGGCTCTTTGCCTGTCTGCATAGGCAACCACCTAAACTGGAAGCACTTCTGCCAATCGCGCCATGACAACTTTAAAAGTGCGCCTTTAATTACAGTGGCTTTATACTATATATAGACCACTATACTATATACTATATACTGTACTATATCATACTCATACTATGCATACTATACTATACTATATACTATACTATACTATATACTATACTATACTATACTATACTATACTATACTATACTATACTATACTATACTATACTATACTATACCACACCATACTACACTACTGATCATATACTATATGTACAATACATACAATGCTATACCATTATAGTGATACTGTAGATTACTAGTGTATGCTGTGCAGGTGGTAGCGTTTAGGGCCATTTCGCTAGCAATGACTAATGTGCGGTCACAGTCACAGGGGTGCAGTTCGAAACGTGCTCATGTTACATGTTCAAACTTCTGTATCTAGGGTCAGGTCAGTGACGTGTGTCCCTGTGTTGTCGGGCTTTTCTGCACCCGAACGTCTGTCGGGAACGCTCGGGAGAGGTCGGGCAGAGGTAACTTTGTTCGGTCGGCTTCGGAAACAACAAGGGAACACCTGAGCGAAAACATGACAAAACAACAACAATCAACACAACACAAGACAACAAGACTCGACACAAACTAAAACAAGAAATCGGAGACTAAAAAAACCTCTGGGAAATATTAAGTTTTTCTTTGGTGAATTTCTTGTTTACTTTCCTGTTGGGCCTGCGATGAGATAGTACTCACACTATCGTGTACTACCACATGTACACACACACACACACACACACACACACACACACACACACACACACACACACACACACACACACACACACACACACACACACACACACACACACACACACACACACACACACACACACACACACACACACTGAAGTGCATCTATTAAACCGTCCATACCTGCATGAATGACCGGCGGAACTGTACGGAGAAGAAGGCGTATATGAGCGGGTTGACGCTGGAGTTGGAGTAGGCCAGGGCGTTCGCCACGTACAGGAGGACCTGCTGCCATTCCTCCCTACCGAACGTACTGTCCACCATCTGTACCAGCAGGTACACCTGGGTGCGACAGCAAGAATATACACACTGATAATTAACACAAGGCGTGATTGTGTATACATAAGGATGGACTAGGTTTGTAAACAAGGTATATATCGTTTTAAAGGTCCACCAGACTACAGTATGCTTTATCGTATTTCTACGTATAATGCCAAGTAAAGGAAAATTTACTGTCAAGTAAAGAAAATTCATTTTCTGTTGGAACACTGTGCCTAGCAGACCTAGCAGACCTTGCGCTCGGGCACTAGGCTCTCCGAAAACGCTGTAGAATCAATTATGTGGAAGTACAGGTCGGAAAAAATATAATGACGGATACAGAACAAAAAGAAGGGCATTAAAGATAGCAGCTGCAGGTCCAGCATTCCTGTTAACTTAACTTGTTGTATCCCCAACGTATGCGTATCGGAGCAACACATGATGTACGATGTGTGCGCACGAAATCTTATTTGGGACAAAATCTACGAAGAGAAAAAATCCCTGCACCTACCGACTCTAACGTTAAGAACCGTAGCCGGTAACATTAGTTTTGCTTGACGTTATTATCAGGAGCACACGCACAGTGCCTCGCCCACACAGTTTGTATGTTTTCTTTGTCTGTCTGTTTGATTGTTTGTTTGTTTGTTTGTTTGTTTTCCCTCACCTGCAGTGGCAGCCAGCACAGGCCGAACACCGCCACTATGACCACGATCATCCTGGTGACTTTCCTCTTGGACTTGTTCCGGCTGGTGTCGTTCATGACGCCGAGCCCGACGCGCGTCCACACCCGCTTCAGCATCAGCGCGTACATGATGACGATGGCGAGCAGGGGCAGGGCGTAGGCCAGCGCGAAGAACACCACCACGAACTCTTTGGAGTTGAAGAGCAGGCAGTTCTTACTCTCCGGGATGACCAGGTAACCCAGATCACAAGCGTCAGCTCCCTGGTACACAAACAGTTTTTACGTTACATTGACATACATAGCATTTACAAAATAATATATTCATTTAATGTTCAGGAAGCACAGCCAGGGCTGCCCAACTAGTCTGTGGCTGTTGCAAAGGGCTAGTCCTGCTGACTAGACAAGACATTACAAAGGAGTTTAAAATGGGCAGCACAACACTTTTTAACAGTCTATGGCGTTATTCTGGATACATTAAGTGTTGTATAAAAAATAACTAAGTGTTGTACTCGTCTATGTCACCATGACGGAGAGGTCAGGGTCAGTTCGCACATGCACATAAAAGAGTCGCCGAGAGAGAGAGTCTCATTGGAAGGCAGTCGTACAAATATATATATTTTTCTCAATGAAAAGTGGCATACAAAGTGATTTTTTATCTAGGAAAAGAAGACAAAAAACGTGGTCCCTCATACGTGGCTTCTATATTATACTGTGTGAATGTCCTGCAAAAGTCCAGATAGAGCGGACAGAAAGTGCATATTACAGAAGGGCTTGCATGCGGTGTCATGCGAGAAGGTTGGGCTGTACATCTGAAGGGACAACAAAATAAATGTTATCACCAAATATCCCCGTTTACACCCTTGTTTAATAATGTTATCTATATTGCCTGGACACCTGTTTGGCCAACCATCGAAACTGGTGAGTAGCGAAAATCCAATAACAAGAACTGACTATGTCGCTGCATGGGTCAACTGAAGTCAGGACCATTATTAGAATTTTTTGTGTTAATGTGTTTACATGTATATTTGGCATTGGCTAGATTTAGGTTTCATTCAAAAGCTTTTATGAAAATTCGATTGGAGGTAGAATACGCCAAGTTGTAACCAATGAAGATGGCGGTCTTTCTTCTTAAAAGTGTAAAACAAGAGAAGGCAGTCAGTTTTACTTGTATCTCTAAAAGCGTACGTAAAAAAAAAAGATTCACTCACCACAACTTTGGCTCCGAGAAGCACCGGGACCATCATGAGGAGAATGATGGGCCACAGCCCCGCCACTATGCCGCTCGCGTACCTGACGCGTCGGTAACGCACTGACGACAGCGGGTGCACGATGGCCAGGTACCGGTCCATGGACATGACGACCAGCGTGTAGATACTGAGCAGACAGCTGACGTACTGGCTGTAGTGCATGACCTTGCACCACACGTCCCCAAATATCCATTTCTGGTCTAACTTAATGATGAGCGTGAAGGGGACGGTACACACGATGAAGAGAAAGTCGGAGATGCTGAGGTTTAAGATGAAGACGTTAGTAGTGCTGCGGAGCTGGCGGCCCTTCAGGATGACGATGATAACCATGAGGTTTCCGACCACGCCGAAAAAGACGATCAGTCCCCAGAACACGGGCAGGGCCACGTCTTTCGCACGCAGCCCCTTGTCCTCATTCACTTGTGCCTTAAAAATCTGCACAATGAAGCCCAGTGTCAAATTGATGGGTCTTATGGTAACGTTAAGTGGAGTGGAAAGGTTAACTTCTCCACAAGGCAACCAAGACTCCTCCATGGTGTCTTATAACTACGGACGTCTACCTTTGTCTCTAACGCTAAAGGTCCCAGCTCCAGAGAAACCTGCCAAGTAATACCAGCCAGTTTTTATGCTCAACCTTTTCTCGTGCGTCGTGCGACATCACAAAAGAACTGTTCTATTGGCGCTGTAAATGCCTGGGTAGTTAGAATTATGGCTGGCTGAGCTGATAGTGAATACTGAAAGTAAACATCGCAGAGATAATCACTGCACTCAAGGCTTTCCCCGTTGTTATGTGGAACAGCTGAAAGGGTGCGTTTTACCGACCATTACTTGTGTTTAATCGGTGGGAACTTTGCCATTTAATGCAGGGTATTTCCGAAGGCAAATAACAGTAGCAATCTGCGACAAAACTCGCGTGGACATAGCGTCTTGCACGTAGCCATGTATTTTCATTGTTTATGTGATTATACCTAATAAATTTGACAACCATGAGGAGAAATGCTTTGAATATGTTGTCACGGAAAGATATCTGGGAATCCACAAAAGTTGTTCGTTTCTGCGGTAATTCGATGCCGGTCAGTTTCTTGGTATCCTTCAGTAACTTACGCCTACAATAGAAAAGCGACAACGTATGAATATTTAACGCAAGTGTCTTTTTGATTCGGTTGGCAAATTACTATATGGTGATCAACAGGTGGGAAATTTCCCTTCATCCCATAAGTCACTTTTACACCACGTTTTGATCACGCAACTATCACGTGAACACCATCAGTTTTTCTGAATTTCTATGGAAACTTTTGTATACGTACGTATTTTACAGTTCATGTATACACGGTACTTGTTTCGTTACTGTGCTCTAGCACGCGCACATCTGTACATATGTTTTTGTAAACAGTTGTGGCAATATATTAAGATAAGGAAAATACCAATAGTAGGTTATCGATCATAATGCTCTTTAAACTAAACAAAACGTTACATTCCTCATTTTGAGATTCACTGAAGGAAAGCCTTACGATTGATCGACATCATTTAGTATTACATGCATACGTACCATAAAACAATTTTCCCTGCACGTTTATGGCTGCGGTTTTTAGATGCGCAAATGTTTGTGTCCGTTCAGTCAGACTATCGGTCTCCGTATTGTCAACCCTCTTATCGGTTCCCTCAGAAATCTACTGCAATAATAGATACAAGACTTTCATCGCTCAAAATCTCCAGCAATAAGGCAATTCTTATTGCATCTCAAGTAGGGAAGCAACAAGTCCATCGCCGCTGCAATACTTTCATTTATCGACAGACGGCGCTCTTCTTTGTTATGCTTTCAAGATGGCCGAGAGGAATATAAACCAGGAAGGAACATTGCAGAAATATTTCGTCATCCACGCAGAGATTACATTTGTATGAACTGCGTCATCAAGGTACGTTTACGTAACGTTACATAGCTGTTTACAGTATCTTGTTTAGACTGGCAATTATGTATTGCTTTCCGTTTGAAAGCGACACTAGTCTATCCCCTTGAGCCTGTGTATTATTTGCACTCCTGTATGTGCTGCAACATACCATGCATGCCAGGACTAAGTTCAAGTACATTGTGACATCCATAGCACATAATCCTACATCCCTAACCAACATATGTCACCCATCACCTAGTTGGGCTTACAATACTTATTATTTCCTAGCCATTGTTTATTTTATGATGTACGTTTAAAGTACATCACACTACAATGTACCAGTACATGTGTAATTGTTTTGTGTGTGTAATCAATTTGTCACCAAGATTCCTCCCTTATCTAAGTTCTTCATTTGCTCTTTCTTTTATTGTCTATGACAGCTCCTTTTGGAAATCAGCCAAGTCTGAAGGCAGGATCCCCAAAGTAGCAGATTCCAGGGCAAGGTGACAGGTCTGCATATCAGTGGGAAAGTATGCAAACTTTCATCTGAACGAGTAACGGGTAACATAACAAAGGACAGACATGGAGCCCATGAGAATCAGGTGTATGAACTTCACGTCCCCCCTGGAGCACCCGACCACCCTCCTCCAGGCCTTACAGGACATGCGGGAAGAGGAGACCCTCTGTGACGTGACTCTCGTCTGCGACAACCTCCGACTTCCCTCTCACAAGATCCTCCTCGCTGCCAGCAGCAGGTTCTTCAAGAACATGTTGTCAGGAGGAGGGAAGGAGGAGGCTGTCTTAGCCGACATGTCTTCCCAGGCAGTGAAAGTGGTTCTGGACTACATGTACACCTCGGAGATATACATCATGCAGGAGAACCTAGAAGATGTGACGTCCGTCGCACGGCAGTTTCAGCTGAGTAATCTGTTGAACTGTTGCATGGAGTATAAGATGGGTTGGGAGAGGGAAGTCAGACATTTTGTGGACGTGACCTACCCCACGAGGCTCCTACACAACCTGCACACGCTGCAGCTGGAGAAGGGCTCGTGTGACATCACTCTGGTCGTGGAGGAGCGGGAGATCGTGGCGCACAGGGTCGTCCTGGCCGCGTGCAGCGACTACTTCCGTGCCATGTTTACCGTTGGGATGAGAGAGGCCACGGAGAGACGGGTGGAACTGAAAGACGTGCCGTACACACGTCTGAAGGAGATGGTGGAGTACATCTACACCTCCGACATAGCGCTGAGGTGGAAACACCTGGAGGAGACCGTGGACGTAGCCAGCAGGCTCCAGGTCTTACCTATACTAGACGTGTGCTGTGAATTCCTGAAAGCGAGCATTGTTGCAGAAACATGTATGGACATCTACCAGCTGGCTAGTGTGTACTATCTGACGGATGTTATAACAGCTGTGAATAGCTACATTCTGGAACACTTTCAGGCATTCTGCAAGAATGCAGACTTCTTGGAGATCTCAGTCGACCAGCTGGCTCAGATTCTCAAAAGTGACTCTCTCAACTGTGCTGATGAAATTGACATATTCTGGGCGGTGTACAGATGGCTCACGCACGAGTCTTCTCGTATGGCGTACACCGGACGTTTGTTGCAGCACGTACGATTCCCACTGATGACTACATTTGATTTGAACGAGATTGTGGACTTGGAGATTTTCCAGAACAGTTTGCAGTACAAGGATCTTATGATCGAGGCTTACAACTATCACTCTCATCCCAGTGAGCAGCCACTGCTCCTGTCTGAACGTACACACATCAGGTCCACATGTTGCTGTCTGGTCAGTTTCAACGGCCGCAAGGCTGGACTGGCGCACAGAGAGGACGAACAGACAGATGTCATGTTTCTGGATCCCAACACCAAGACATGGCGTGAACTCACGGCGACAAAAGAGCCCATCACACACCAGGGCGTGGCCGTGCTGAACAACTTCGTGTACCTGATTGGTGGGGAGGGCGTGCGGGGATTCCGCTCTGCCGTGGCCACGGGCTGGCGCTACGACCCTCAGAGGAACGACTGGTTCAGGGTCAAGTGCATGCGCCACCGTCGGTCAGATTTCCACCTACAAGCCATGGACGGGAAACTTTACGCCATCGGAGGGAGGAACTTGATGGGAGAGAACGACAAGGTAGAGTGTTACAATCCGGCTAAGGATGAGTGGTCCTACATAGCATCAGTGGGGATTCCCTTGTATGGGCATGCAGGCACAGATTACAAGGGGCAGCTGTATCTGTCAGGAGGGGGCAGTAACTGGGTCTACAACACTGCCCTGAGGTGTTACGACCCACAAAGTGACACCTGGACGATCAAATCTGACATGGCCATCGCTCGGGCATTCCACAGGATGGCCACGGTAGGAGGGAAGATTTTTGTCCTGGGCGGCGCGGAGAGAGATGACCATGCAAACGCCGACGTCCTGCTGACCGAATGTTACAGTCCGCAAACTGGACAGTGGAGCATTGTCGCACCCATGCCCAAGCCGCAAGCAGAGCCAGGCTTAGCCATCATGGAAGGACGAATCTTCCTCGTAGGAGGGAGCTCTTGTCAGCATAGGACATACAGGGCTCTGAAGTACATCCAGTGCTATGACCCAAACACAAATAAGTGGTCAGAAGAAGAACCGTTGCCGGACGCGTGGACTGGGGTAGCCTGTGCTGCCATCACCCTACCACAGGACAGTGTCAGTGGGTCATGGTTTGACTGGCTGTATAAACTCTAGTTTGGCATCTCTATCAAGATTTCTTTCCCTTCTGTCTCACAGATTAAAAATACACTGTATAGATTGAACTTACTCCTCTACCACTATACCATATATGAGGATTACTATTACATATATAAAATTATATCTTATCATAGGCAACATATACTTCATATGAAAGATGATACTTTTTAAGTGCTGTAAACCAAATGATATCAATACACTGGTACTGGTATGGTGTTAGGTGACCCTCACAAGGGACTAGAAACTGTAAGCAGTATATGTCAAGTGATGTCATGTACATATATACTGTGTATATATAAACAACCTTTTTGTTGCATGTGGTAATCTCCAAGAGTAAGAGTTCTTGAATCATGTTCAAATTCAAACACTGCAAGTAGACTTCACCCCTTACATGTACTGTTTTGTAACCCTAATCCAGCCCCATGAATAAAAAAATAGCAATACTGAGGATGTATGGAAATGCTGTTAGATGATGTTTTTCAAACTTGGAACATATGTAGTTTTTCTTCACACCTTATCCTTTATAGCATCTAATATTTTCTTATTTACGAAAACAGTCTTGCTTATCTTTCACATTGGGAATCTTATAAGAGGCAAGGATGGACAGTTTGACCCATTAATGTGTCATTGTTGATTTGCTCTTTCCTTTGAACTCTACAAAAAGAAGAGCTATCCTGCATACCTCATAGCTACATATATCCTAGGCACGTTAAAACAGCTCACAATCAAAACACCATCCTAACTCCATGAAAAAAATACAATAACAGTCAACAAACATTTGAAGTTATGTTTTATTTTACAACTTCAGGACACTAGAGTGAAGTGATATGGATAGAGGCATACTGGTACAAGTCAATACACCTGCCAACAACCTCCATCTAATGCTTATGGATGTCAACAATCCTGATTTCCATTCTAGGAGAAACTGTTTTGGTCTATCATCACACACAAATCTCAAACATGTTCTGCCTCATGTTGTATGGTTCATATTTGTGTCAGTTAAGAAGAAAAAAGTGAAAGGAAGCCTAGATGCAGGTTTTATTATGACTCTTGTTTTTCTGCCTCTCTTCGTTCTTCTATCATGCGATGTTTCTGCTTCATGAATGCTTTGAAGGCATTCCCATACACTCCCAGGTCTCCATCTGTGGTGTACAGAACAGTATGGTTAGAAATGGCAGGATATACAAGGAGTCACCATGATTCTGAACTTGTGGTTGTACTGCAGAACATTCACTAAACTGTACTACTTTGCTTGATTAGTCTCAAGCTCAGTAGTGACAGAACTTCATCCTTGAATTACAAAAAATGTTAGCCATACATACTAGTGATATCTATAAGACTTGCTGTTATAAAAGTGATAATTGCACGTCTTAGTATACACTACACATATACATACCATATACTAGGTTCACTAAAATTTTAGTAAAAGAACATATGGATAAGTGATAAGAAATCAAAGACACTTGGCTTGGTCTAACTCAGTCTCAATAGTTACATTTCTCCATGTCACTTGTGTGCATATTCGAATTCCAAATGCACACAGACAGAGTTCAACACTGCCCCCATTCCCCTTAGTGGCCTCACTAACACTTGATAGTTAATAATGGGAAATTTGACCAGTAACTAAGAGTACATACACTTGATGTCATAGCCATTCTGAGCTGAATCATAGCGCTGTTTTAGGTCCCTGCAGTTCACATAGTGACTGTCGCCCTCCTCGAAGCAGCATCGCATCCAGTCTTGCCGCGCCAAACGCAGGATCTCCTGATCTACAAGACTGAGGGAGGAAAATGGTGGTACAAGTATTAATATTGACTACTAATAGTACTATTGATCATAAAACTAAAACTGGTTAAAGCATAACAGTGTCATGTAGCCTGGATGCCAGACCCATATAGCACAACAGACCCAAAGTTATCCCCACACAGCCAGGATAACTTTTGATCCAGTACTAGTGTGCTATGGGTCTGGCATCCAAGCTATAAGTATAACAGATGTTGCCTGCATAGCTTATACGTTGTACTTCAATTGCTGACTGCAATTCTTTACTTACTGGTCTCGTTTGAACTGTTCGTTGGCCTCGTAGATGCAGACCTGGTCGTTGATGTCACAGTCCTCGATCCCGGGAACACGGCGGAACTTACGGTGGTAGTACGGGTATTTGTTTTTCTGCTGCTGAGCCTTGATCCAATCTGAGAGGTCAAAAGGTGTAAATAATATATCTCTGTCTTTGTATCTATAGTTGGATCACTGGTAATCATTTCTTTCCAATGTTGATGCTATTATGGTGGACACGAAAAAAGTGTGATGATTTTTCGATTTAAAATTCACATTATGTATCAGCATCTAAACATATAATTAGCAATAGCTATGAAGTTTTGTATATGCAACTGATTTATAATTATATATAGTGCCTTTAGGACAGTCCCAAACAACCTGATGTAGTTTCTGTCACAAGTCAAGTGGCAACTATTGAATATTCTCGATACCTTAAAACGCCATGGTGTCATCTGGATCAAAACTAGCAAGTGCAAGCAAGAAAGAGAAAGATAGTGAGTGAGTGCTGTGTTGTTACATGTTGATCATGAGGTCACACCATACCGTGGATGGCAGTCACTGGCTTGTCGACGGTGTAGTGGAACGTCGCCAAAAGCGTCTTCATAACAGGATTGAGGTGACTGTTGTCCCCTCCAGGATTGTATGTGTACGCCTCTTCCCAGCTTGCGATGTCGAATTTCTTCTTTGGAGGACCTCCATCGTCTCCTTGGTCCGCCATGATGGTGACCTCTGGCGCCTACTTTTTTCAAAGAGGGTATGGAAGAGTGTATACCACAACTGGAAATAAAGTATAACCTTCAAATAATTGTCAATGTTGATATTACAAAGTACTCAATATCGGTAATTACCTACATATAGTGTGTCTGTGTGAAAAAAGGATAGTTTTATGCCAACTAATTTGTATTCTTTCAACTTTATCTTGCAATATCCCTACTTCTCTACCCCTATCATACCCTTAAACTCCCCTCACGGTGGTCAGATCGCGTCGAAATACAACTAAATTTTACTACATTGACTTGTGCTACGATTTGGTGGTAAAAATGCAAAACATTGGCAAAATAAATAGGATACTAAAATATTTAAGAATGTACTGCGTATCAAATCTTTTTCAAAAGTTCACTATACCATAATAGTAATGGTGTATATAACATTAGCGTTTGCATGCATTCTTAGTTACCATGTTCTGCGTATCCCCAATATTGTGAATTTATTTACCGATTATCGCCTTTGATATGAATGAAAAGCGTAATCATTCAGTACATCTATTGCATGTAGTTTACTAATGATATATATAAACATGTGAAGTTTAATGAAGACCTTGTTTTTATTTATGAATGATCTCAAAACTTACAGGCACCGTAGGTTCAAGGTAAGAATCCTATATTAGCCTCGTTTTGGACCAGCACGCCCTCTTTGCCTAGCTGTGGAAATGGTGGGTAGCATGAAATTTTAGTGGCTAACAATCCGTGAGATATCGCGCGAAGTTTATTTCATCGAAGCTTATATCCTCATTTTTCTGGTGTCAGAAGAAATGGAGAGTATGTTATGATAGGTTTTAATGCATCTGAGTGCATTAGACCGACACAATTTCGTTTCTACTTGGCAGCTATCGTTGACAAATTCCAGCCCTGCAACGTGTGCAAGATGGCCTTTGTAGTTGTGCAGCCTGGAGTGACTAGACGTGCTTACTTGTGGTACTGGATGTGAAGTACAAACACATCGATGACTTAAGAAAAAAAAACTCCTGCAGTTTTTCTGTGCCTAAAAATTACGAGTAGTTTCGGCATGCCGCATGGGCATGGCCACATGTGCGAACTTGTTCTGATGGGGGAGGGGGGTCGAGCTCGTATGCAGCGTACAAGAAAATTCCCACTATTGTTGGTTACTCTTATTTATTGCTAAATGTTTAAACTTGCCCGTATAGCCAAGTCAGATTTGTGACGTATTTTTTTCCCGTTGCAGTCTCACCGAAAGTTCTCTGCGCCACGCCACGGCTCCCTGGGTTTCCTGCCCCGCAAGAGGTGCAGGCGCTCCAAGGGGAAGGTTAAGGCTTTTCCCAAGGATGACGCCAGCAAGCCTCCACATCTTACCGCCTTCATGGGCTACAAGGCCGGCATGACCCATGTACTGAGGGAAGTCGAGAGAACTGGAGCAAGTATGTATTTCAGCTCAAATTTGTTAACTTGCCTCACCATGTACTATATACAACTAGAAGTAAATGAACTTTAAGTCATTTCATATTCATAATTAAGCTTACCATATTTTAGGATAAGCAGAATTTAAGTTTATGACTGTGTTCTACCCAGATCAGCAGTGATGAAATTTTTTCCCACATTCGCAGTTTCCACCAAAAAGGCCCCTGTGCCTTGATGATGGGACAATTCCTTCCTTGGATGTCTGAGCTGATACTCTTTTCTTGAACAAAGATTCTATAATTTCTCGAGACTCTTTAAGTAATGAATGTCTTAACTACTTAATTTCCCAGAGTCAACCAAACGAGAGGTGGTAGATGCAGTGACGATCATAGAAACCCCTCCCATGATGGTTGTCGGAGTGGTTGGCTACATCGCTACACCAAAAGGCAGGCGTGCTTTCAGGACCATCTTTGCCGAACACTTGAGCGATGAGTGCAGGCGTCGCTTCTACAAGAACTGGTAAGGCAGAAATGCAGGACAGCAATTTATTTGATGACTGTATTAGTAGGGTTCAAATCCTATATGCATTTCAATGTCAGGGCTCTCTGAATACTAGGTGCATATGCACCTTAGTGCAGGTATTCAGAAAAAAATATTGAGCCCTGAAAGGATATAAGTTGTAAAGATAAGTTTCGGTAGATAATAGATATTGTACTGAAATTGGCTTGTTTGCTTAACCCCTCTTTATTGCAATCAGCACTATGAGCCAGGGTCTGGTCTCATGGAGCAGCCACACACTCCACCCAGTGTCTGTACACTGAAGAGTGTCGCATGCCTAACTCCTCAGCCTTCGAGCCTCCTCTCGTGTAACACTCACGATGAGACTCATGGCTGTCTTCCCCTGCCCCTTGGGGACTGAAGGTACTCCTCCAAGAAGAAGGCATTCACCAAGTACGCCAAGAAGTGGCAGGACGAGGACGGCAAGAAGCAGATTGAGAAGGACTTCAAGCAGATGAAGAAATACTGCATCAACATCCGTGTCATTGTCCACACTCAGGTAATGAGATGGCTATATTACACACATAAGGCCATGTTGATTTGATGATATGGAGGACATCTTCACACGCCAAAAAAAATTTGCATCAGTTTTGGGGTTCTAAGTGGATGTTAACCCATAAAATCAAATCAACATTGCCTAACCAAATTCCTTCGAAACGCATAAGCTTGTCTTCCTTAGATAACAACTAGTAACTGGTTTACATGCACATGACACTGGCATTATATGCATGTTATATGGAGAGGACAATAAATAGTAGTTGTACAAGGATCCGTTTTAGTGTGGTAAAGGCTGTTTGCAGTGATGAAATATTCCCCACATTCGCAGTTTCCACCAAAAAGGCACCTGTGCCTTGATGATGGGACAATTCCTTCCTTGGATGTCTGAGCTAACAGCAAGCCATTAGAGTTAAGTTTCAATACTAAAGAATCAAAGTGAGTACAGTTCTGTAATGGACTTTTTTTGTCATCCCCATTAGATGAAGGACCTGCCTCACCGTCAGAAGAAGTCCCACATCATGGAGATCCAGGTGAACGGTGGCACCATCGCGGAGAAGGTGGACTGGGCGCGGGAACATCTGGAGAAACAGATCCCCGTCTCCCAGGTCTTCGGCCAGGACGAGATGATCGACATCATCGGTATCACCAAGGGCAAGGGCTTCAAGGGTAAATAACCTAGTCTCGTTATCTTACTGTTCACATTGAGCACATTTCCCTGTGTTTAGACATGTGATGAAGCCCATGGAAATATGCTTCATGCGCGAAGCATTCAGAACAAACTCTGTTGAAGTTTCCATGCTGCCTTCCTACTGATGTCTACAAGAAATACAAGCAAATAAACAAGGTAGTTCTGTACTTGTTAAACATTTCCAGCTATTGTGACTTAATGAATTTGCCTTTCCCCTAGGTGTGACCTCCCGTTGGGGAACCAAGAAGCTCCCCCGTAAGACCCACAAGGGTCTGCGTAAGGTGGCCTGTATCGGCGCCTGGCATCCTGCTCGTGTGGGCTACGGTGTCGCCCGTGCTGGTCAGAAGGGCTACAACCATCGCACGGAGATCAACAAGAAGGTGTACCGTGTGGGCGCGGGCATCCATGTGAAGGACGGCAAGGTCGTCAAGAACAACGCCGCCACCGAGTACGATCTGACGGAGAAGACTATCACTCCACTGGTAAGAGATAATACTGGATGCCAGAAAAGGAATCACTGTAAAACCTTGTTGCTAGACTTGAAAAATAAGTCCACAGGCAATTTTTGGCTCTTGATAAGTTTTGCAAGGTTTTTTGAAGGACTGAGTCCAACACTTTTTTTTGTTATTTTCCAGGGTGGCTTCCCCCACTACGGTGAAGTGAAGAATGACTTCATCATGATCAGGGGCTGCTGTGTCGGACCTAAGAAGCGTGTGCTCACCCTGCGCAAGGTAATCCCCAACATGTAGTTACACTTTGCACATGCTGCACATGAAGTCCCAAAGACATGACCACAGAAGGGGTCTGGTATTTTATTCCTCTCATAACCCTCTTCGAGTTGGACACCATTGTGTTGGCTAAATCACAGCTTAGGGGATCCAAATCACATGTAGGGGACCCCTATGCTCGAAAAGCCCAATGGGACCTATGCTAAGTCTAATTTGTTGTGTATCATATGATATAGGGTAGATTTGAGCTGTCAGCAGTGACGATAACCTCTTCATTGTTTCCACCATAAAGGCACCTGTGTCTTAATGATGGGACAGATCTTCCTTGGATGTGTCTGAGCCTTCGACAGCTCCAGTGTAAAATCTGTTATGAAAAGTGCATATCTTGTATTTTGCCATACTAAGATGGACTTTCTCGTTGGCAGTCTCTTCTGGTCCAGACCAGCCGCAGGTCCCAGGAGAAGATCACGCTCAAGTTCATCGACACCTCGTCCAAGTTCGGTCACGGCCGCTTCCAGACCATCGCAGAGAAGAAGGCCTTCATGGTTAGTACTCTTCAATTTTTATTACATTCATTATATACCTCAACAGCCTCACATTTCTCTGAATGCTGCAGTTTGCTTTTATATTTGCAATTTTTGTGGTCACCTCTGTACTGCGAACTTATCTTAACATTAAACTAATAATTCACCAACTTTTCTGCTGCACCTGCCGCTACCGTGAACGCATAGTTCCGCAAACATGTCCATTTTTCTCAGACTGCAAACTTTTGCTACCACAAACAGTGATTTACAGTAGTTTTCTTTTCAAACAGATTGAATTACATGTTCCTTATCTGTTTACAGGGTCCTCTCAAGAAGGACAAGGAAATCAAGGAGACTCCAGTGGCCTGAGAAACCCCTGCAGACCCCGAACTATTGGGCCAAGGAACAGCACTTAAACCTTCTGGTCAAAGCTGGTTCTGACAATAAAACAAATGAAATGAAAAGTGGATACTGTACTGTCCTGTTTTTTTGTCTTGTAGTTCTAGAATATCTTATTAATCCACTGCAAGCATTAAAAGCAATTGAAGGTGGGATTATGAAATGATAGGAAAGTTGATCATGGGGAAAGTGCTTTCCAATTTTGAGTGGCTGCCAGCAACTTACATGACTCACATTTGCTAGTGAATGTAAGATATTATTGTCCTCGATAAGACTCGCAACTCATGATCCAGAATGCAAGGATGTCAAACAAGTTCGTGAATAGCTACCAGTGATGTTTGCACGACCAACGTAACTGACGGGTGGGCTCTGAAAAACTGGCCATGGGGTAGAAACTGATTTACTGGTTAGCAATGGGGTCCTTCATGCAATGGATGGTGGTGTAGTCTTCCCACTCTTGACTTAAACATGACTGCAAGCAACCTCATGGATTCATCAATAGCGTTTCGAAATAGATACAGTATCCAAGACTTAAAGGTCTCTGTATCTTACAATTGAAGTCCCTATTTATAGAAAAAACGTGGCGTTAAGAATAGCAGACATTGTGCGGCCGTACATAGCACCAGATGTGTCGTGGTCTCCGAGTTTAAGAACGTTAAACAGTAGCAATGGCAATCGTGCCATTTGTACGTGGAGAGCCTGAACTTGACAGCTGTACAGCAAACACGAATAGCGGCGGTGGAGCCAAGGTGGCATGCCAACGTGACGGCGGCTGTGCGGGGGACGTGAGCAGACCTGCCAAGCGTAGCCTCACCATTGTGCGATAAATCAGACGTTTCATCGCGAGGACCGTGTCCTTGTCGAGTTCACCTTGTGTACATACTGAAACCACGCATGCCAAGACACCATGCCAACCGGATGTCTTAAAACGTTATACACGGTTCTTAGACGGGTTTAATAGAATTCTACCGTTTGTGTGGCTTCCTGCGATGGATAGGAGTCACTGCAGAGTTCAAGTTGAAGGTGTATAGTGTTGCTCGGCGGTGTCAGATCGTGCATGTCTGTAAAGGCACAGGTCAGATTTTCACTCACGTACGCACGTGTCTCGAACCGTAAATAACTCAGGAAAGGGAATCTGAGGTAAAGTTTGGTAAATACTTTGCCAGCTACGGATATATATCGGAAGTATTGTTTTTTGACGTCCGTGTACCCTTCGGACATAGTAGGTTCATAACACGTGCATGGGGAAAAATAGCAGACAGAATAACAAAAGATCGACCAAATACGGGAAATGGGGTAAACTTGAAGGTCACAGAATATGAGTTAGGTCAACATGGGGGAATTCAGGAAGCCGAAAATTGCATGAGAGACCTTCCACCAATCCAACACAGTTACTTACGGTACTAGTCCAGGTTAAATACGTCATAGAATCTCCTCCGTTGTTCAGAAAAGAATGCACAAAATTTCCAGATATACTTCGGAAGTCTGAAACTTCTGATTACTTGTTTATCAATCAACTAAAGGTCTGAAGTTGTTCCGAAGTCCAACCGGTAGCGACAGTGGGAGCGGACGTGAACTAACCAGGATGGTACCCAGGCTACCAAGGCCCTGTGTGTTCTTTAATTCTACACCCCGTCACATTTATATAAAACGTGCAGCTACGTACATAATACTGCACAGGAACACCGACAATTAACAGTTTCTGTAAGTATACTTTATTTTCTGCAATATGTATAATGTCACCATATGTATTCCAACATGACCTCGCATCGTGAATTCCAGCAGTGCTGCGGCATATCAAAATTCCGACACAGTAACCGAACATGACAATCACATGAAACATCAGCTCCCTAAAGTATTGTTTGGACGAGAAGTACCTCAAGGTTTGAACTAGTTAAAATGTATGGATATGTTCACCAGTTTTGTGGGAACCAGGCTAGTGTCTAGTGGTGTAGTGCCTATAGTTATGTTGACATAATTAGATAACCGTCTTTTCCTAGGTCTTAACTTTGTTTTCCAAGTACTTGTGTTGCGATCTCATTATTGCATATGTATACAAGCAAACCCTTGCACCTAGGCCCTATAGAAGATCATCCATTTCAGAGTATACATGTACATGTATAAATACTTACCATCACTCGTGACAGAAAAAGATAAGCAAAATATAAATCGGTACGAGTGGTAGAAAAAATATCAGTTAACATTATAAGTGATCATATTTCATGTCAGCACTTGACCCCACCTGTAGTCAATATTGCAGGTTGTTATTAACTAACAGTTGAACATGTGAAAAGGGTTCAAAGTCCTCCAACCCCGCCTCCTGGCAACAGTCAACATATCAGTTCTGTTGTGGTGTCCTGGCGGTAGATTGAGTCATCGTAAACGAGATATAAAACCTCTAGAACGGTAATAAATCTCACAAGTATTGCCGATAAACGCCAGCTCAAATCGTGATAAATTTTATGGCTGTACACATGTGTGAGGGTGTATAGACTGTACATTGTTCTCAGCTGCCCCCCTCCACGACAATTTCAGGCAGCGGGTCTTGTTTGATGAATGTCGCCTCAGTTGTTGATTCTACTTTATGCTTTTCGTCCACCTCGGGCAAGGAGTCGAGTACAGAGGAGTGATGTTCGTCTGTCAGACTTTTTGGCCTGAGCGCGAGAACTGACGCCACGTTTAGCTTTTTCTTAGGCTGGTCTCGTTTAGAAAGGCTGGCTAAGTCATTCACGGAGATAGCCGGTACACTTCTCTTGCGTAGCCTCGCGTTTACCGGTGCCTGCTCTACTTCTTCTTTGAAGTCCTGAGTGGCAGACACCAAATTTTTCCACTTCCCTCCACCTAGACCCGACTTGGGGCGGAGACTTTCAGCCTTGCTCGCCCGTCGTTTCTTCACGGCGATGTTCAGTAGTCCCGCGGCGCTCATCTTCTTCCTCCGCGGCTCTGGAGGCGGCGTCGGGGGCGGCGTGTCAGGCTTCTTCTGAGCGGTCACTCTAAAGGCGGCGCTGTTGTGAGCCGATTTCAGGGCCATCAGTGTGGGTATTGTAGGGTACGAGGAACGCTTGCCGAGATACCGCTGAGCGTGTTGTCCTTTCAATACCAACAGGGCAGAATCCGCGGTGGAGTTATACACAGAAGAGCGCACACTTAACACACTGCCCACCTGTGAACCGGAGGCCCCGGGAGGTCCCGTCATCTTGAACTTTGGTAAAGTCAGCCCTGGTTCCGGATTCTTGCTCCGTACCGTAGTTTCTACTGTCGGTTTTTCGGACCCTTTGTAAGACTTGGAATACTCAACACGAATCGGCGGGAGGGTCACTGTTAGGAGAGCAGTCAGTGTTTTCTTGCTTGGCTTTTTGTCTTCCGTAGTGTCTTCATCTGCAGCGGGTACATGTACCTCTTCTCGTATGACCTGTCCACTCACGGAGAAGTATTTTCTGGTGTTAAACGTACAGGGGTTCGCCCTCGCTTCTGTCAGCAGAATCTGCGCGATGTCGTCCTGTCCCCTGATCTTCGCCTGCACGTACGGTGTCGTGCTGTTATTGTCCGGGATGTCTACACTCAGCTGCCGGTCTACGGTGGCTCTGACGACCGTCCGAACTACCGACGGGTCCCCGGAGAGCACGGCGTGGTGCAGGGGAGTTCTCCCCTCCTTGTCCTTCTGTACCAAGTCCACGTTCTTGTGATTGAGCAGCCATTTGACTTGTTGGTTGAGTCCGTAGGAGCAGGCGAAGGAGAAGACGCTCCTGCCGCAGGGGTCCTGTGCGCGCAGGTCGGCTCCTCGGTAGAACAGGTGTCGGAACATCTTATCTCTCAGGTGGTCGTCCCTCGCGAAGCAGGCCGTCATGAGCGGGGTCCGGCCGTGATGGTCCCGCACGTTCGCGTCCATCAGATTTAACAAGTCCCGCACGTCCTCCAGCTTCCCCTCCAACACCGCCTGGTGAAGCCGCGCCGCCTTCTCGTCAGGAAGCCTCTTCCTTCTCGTCATGGCGGCTAGATCTTACCGAGAACCCCGAACATTAACTAAGACATGTACCCTGCGATGTTGCTCCCGTCACCGTGTCTGTGTTACTAACGGGATTGTATACCGTCAGTACAGCGCCTATTGTGAGGTAGAGCTCGCTTTGTGTGCCCAACTCGGCCTTCTGATAGCAGTTCTTTGTTTCGTCCAATCGGACACATTGTTTGCGGAATGTCGAACGAGCAGGAGTAGATTATGGCAGACTTCACAACTATAAAAGCAGGTGTCGGTCGCTAGCAAATACATCACGGATAGCCTATAGAACTAACAAAATTAACTTTACTCGCTCCTATAGGCGATTCAAAAGTCCGTATTGATAAGAATGTTTACTCCGTGCCGTATCCAACTTCGCCCGTGTCAACGTTTATGCCCAACAGATGACGACTGTAAACGGTTGCCAACAATTGTCTCACCCGTGCAAGTCTGTCGTTAACTCGTCAATAATTCCTATCGTAAATTCCATTACAGGAGATAAAAATGTCATGACATATCGATATAATCATGCCGTAGTTAACGTTGACAGCGTGAGTAACTTGCTCCCATCTATTCATAAGCGGACACAATTAAAATTGACAGGCACGAGAGAAAGACTCGATTGTTCCCCTCTCTGACTCTCCCGCTGATATCTGGATATGAAAAGGGCTTGTCACGATGTTGGATGGGTCTTGTATTTTCTAAACAGCGTCGCCACAGTTTAAGATCACGCGATGAAAAATTTATGCAGCGGCTTTTGTGTGGCGTGCTTTGTATGGACGTGGGTGGACGGGTGGAGAACCTGTGTGGCGGCTAGCGATGTTTCTGTAACACTTGGCAACACGTTACTAGCGGAGGTTTTCCCGACCAACTAACTTGTAAACATCGTTTCCTTCGCGATTCTAGGAATGTGCCAATTACTTCTGTAGGGGTGATTTTGTAGTCAGGCGGTTGACAACTCTGTTTAAATTTCTTCCCATGACCGGAGGAAAACTTAAAACGAGCCTACATTCGTTTATTCCGCTGATAAATTGGGTACATTCTTGTTGGTCATGGAAGTCATGGTAAGTTTCTCACGTTATCTGTTAATCCTCTGTTACATTCTTGTTATAAGTGCTGATCAAATGACAGAACATTTACCGTACGAATGTTTCAGTCAGGAGCTAGCCCACTCGGTTGTATTATGTCCACTAGCCTGGCTACCAGAGCAGACCTTATTTTGTTACCGAGTCACCGAACTATTAAAAGGACAGAAAACGCCGTCCCGTACGACTCATACAAGCTTCTTGTACTCTCAATGGCATCAATTTCTTACAAACTATTTGCTTCCTGGTACATCCACAAGGTTTTTTTTCTTCATGAAAAGAAGTTTCAGTATCACGAAGTGAGGCGGAAGTCACGCTCGGGAGTGAGTCGTGAATCACTCGGCCCGTCTCCTAGACGACAGTTCCGAACTCTCAACAGTGTCGTGACCGGTCAGCACTTATGATACAGGGTTTGTCAACACGTCTCAGGGAATGGACTAGCCACGTTAAACTTTGATATGGGTAACTATCGCAAAAAGGGTTGTATTGTATGAAAACTGTTTCGTTGTTTTATTGTCTGAAGTTGACATTTTAGAATTAAGGTCTCTTTCGTTCAGTTTCTATTTCCTCAACGTTCTTATACATGTAGATCTCTTATGAAGCTCCAAGGCAAACTGACAATCACTGCCGTCTCTGGTCCTTCTCTCTTACGTCAGTCTTCCAATATTACCTTTCCCTCATCAAAATCTAATCATGCGTTGTTTGTAGCAAAGGCTGTTTCAACAGAGACCCGCTGTCGTGGCAAACTCCGACATGTGCCCGCAAATATTTGATGATCGTTTGCCGGAACCGTAAAACTATAAGGACACTTAGCGACACGTTAGACCTTTGATATCGGAGACCTCCCGGCCGTTCCTTTGCGGTTGCTATGCGCACGTCAAGAAGTTTTTTTGTGGTGTATCTTTTGTCTTGGAGGGTTGTCTTGAAGGCGCGTAACATTGTGTAAGGGTTCCACGAGGACATGCTAGTCTATATATAGGATACTAGGTCATGCTACGTACCTTTGCCTGGGGATCGATCTTTCTGGAATAATTTCTTGTTAACATGTTTATCTTAAGCATTGCATCCTTGGTAAATCTACCCAGACCGTCAAACTGACACTCAGCCCCATAGTGTTCATATTGTTTTGTTTAACTGTTCTGTTTTGTCTGCAGCGGCATGTGTTAAGTGCTAGTCATCTATGGATGGCCTCTTATAGGCTTAGTATGTGTTGGTTTCACGCCGAATGTTTAAATGGAGGTTATAATCCATGTATTGTACTGAAGATGAACCTCTGTGACCTTTTACTTCAGGCGAACAAAACAGGCATGACAGGGTTCAGCCTGTGTCGGCTTTTGGGACGGTAACAGGAAGATATGATAAAGTAAAGCATTTAGCAGGACAGTATCATTATATCTTATCGGTATCCAACGTTAACACAATATAGATCCTCCCGCGACATTACAGTACTAGTCCTATGATCAAGGAGCTAGAACTACCTTGCTATGATTTTGATTTAAGACATCAAATGCAATTTCAGTGTGTCAAAACTGAGATTTTTCAAAGTCAATTTTCATGTCTTATTTTATGGCAAAAGGCGATGTTACTGACTGAAAACGGTTGCTTGTTTCATATGCTGGTTCTAGCTATCAAGTTATGGACGGTACCCAAAAAAGTAAAGAGACACCTGACGTAGCTAGTTTGGGACTATTTCAAGTGTTTCAAGTATGTGAAATGATGAAAATGTGCCAAGAAATGGTGGTAAATGTCGATATCTGACAGATTTATACTATGGGTTAGGCTATATTATGTGTCACCAATAATAACACGGGAACTGGGACGGAGTAAGGCAAAAGGACGTGTTTATTTCTGTTTTCAACATTAGCAAGTTCACATAAAGCTGCATAAGGGTTATTAATTCAACGGACGGCTTTAATTTAGTGACCTTGGGAAAAATGTCATGGACGGGTTTTGTCTTGGACGGAACATTTCCATAGCTGCTTTCTCTGTAGAAAGAAGTAGTTCCATAAATTAGAGGATAGATTTCAACTGGATATACATTTTTGATTGGTAATATCACATATCCATATATTTCGCTTTTAAAAGATCCCAATCTATAGTAATACGTGCAAATAATGGACGGTGGTATTTGTTAGAGACTCTGAGACCTGCTTAGCTACATTCATTGAAAAACAACCAGCGGTCCGCTTTATCTAGCAAATACTAATAGCACTGCTGAAATTAAAGATTTACAAATTAAAGGACGGTGCTTTAGAAAAATATAAAAAGGTTACATCTACACCAGTATACAACAATGGCCTTCTCTTTATGAACTGGCCAACTAACTAACGCATGCAATGTCTGACTCTGGTCAAACTCGGCATAATTACTAAACACGCGTTTCTTGAAAAACAGTTTGCATTGACATCATGGATTTTTCTAGATCTATTCTTATCCTACACACAATAATGACGTAAGGATGTACATGGTGTATGTACTATACAACGTCTTTTGTTTATCTAAGTTTTATGAGAATATCAAAATATGGCGCACCCTTGTCGAAGAGGGAAATCTACAGTTAAACTCACACTTTTCTCACCACATGATATGTAACTACGAACATTGCGCATGCCTTGCCACAGGCCTTGTCATCCTCATGTGATCCGCTAGATGGTGCATATCAACATGATCTATCCCCTTCCCATCTCCCCTTTCTATCAGGACGCTAAAAGGTCTATCGAAATACTTAAGTTAAAACAAATTTTCCCACAAAAGATGCCAAATTGGCTGTTCCACAAGCATATTGCAATTCAAATAGCTATGTGGACTTGAGATCAATATCGTACATGTACTAGATACTACTAGTACAGGAGTCGGTCTCTTATGAAGATAAGCTTATGGATAATCTCAAAGCAGATTCTCTGGGGCAAGGGAGTCTACATTGGCCGCCTGTAACCATTGGCCGCCTGTAACCATTGGTCGCTCTTGGGTGGCGTATTGGATACCGTCTGGCCAATTCGATACTGTCCACCCAAAAGATCTGCTTGGAGATTAAACCTTAGACCACTATTACTATATCGAAGACAAAGGTCAATGTCATATGACCACATTCCGTCCACGCGGCCTGCCGAATACGGGCCTTCTTGATGACTGTGTCGCCGTAGAACCAGCAGCCGACATCCGGTCAGGGTATCTCTTCAGGATATGGTCCACGTTTACTTGTTTGTTCGTCTCGTATTTCGGAGACAGGGCATCTGCCAGCTTGGAGAAGCGGCGGTCCGCCGTGGGCTGCCATGCCTGCGTGGTCTGTACTAAAGAGTTCAACAGGTCCTCCCGTGCAATTCTCGCTGGAAGCGCTGGGGGCGCTGTTGTCTCGGTAGCAGCAGGTACGATAGAGCTGGCCTTACGTGAAAGGACGTCGGAGTCGCAGGGAATGCTGCTGAGCTGGCTGTTCTGCCGCTGGAGAGGGGGGTGGGACGCGCCGCTGTCCACCTTCCGCATCAAGTCCTTCATGACGCTAGTCTTCCGCTGCTGCTTGTCCAGGAAGGCTTTCCGCTGGTAGTTCGCCTGCGACAGGAACTTGTACCTGAAAACAAGCAAAGTCAGGACGCAAGAGCCCAATAAAAAAATAACGTACTGCAAATGAACATGTAGATGTTTATGACAGAAATACTACTAGTGCATAGCTATAGTGCATACTAGTAGTACATGTACCTCTGCCAGCATGTGAGCGATACCTTAACAGGTAGCCTGGCAAATGGCTTGCCTTCTGAAATGAGCAGCCGGTATTAACGGCAACCGAAATATTAATCGATAACTTAACCTTTGGCTTAGGTTGCCTAATGGGCAACCTGCACTGTAGATGCCTAATGGGCAACCTGGAAAAAAAAAGGAATTTCGAACCCTGGTCTGATACTTCTGCCCAAACCGACCTTTCCTTAGACAAGTCGTACAGCTTGGACTCTAACATGCGCTGTTCCGTGTAGTTCTCTGCCGGCTGTGCCGCCGTCCGAACCGTGCTCTTCTCTCTCTTCACGTCAGAGATCCATTCTTCGATTTCCTACGTGAGAAACACGAGTGAAAACATGCAGGCGTGTAGAAACCAAATTAAAAGGTTTTATCCATTTTAAATTCTAATGCAGTGTATGGTGATATAGTCTTTGCTTTTCTCTCGTATTTGTTTCCTTCCTTTTTTTCATTCCAACACGCTGTGTTTTTAGCCTCTACCAGGCTTCAGCAGCGGCTTGAAAGAGTGAGCGCGCAAGACTCCTCATGTTATCTGTCTATTTGGCCAATGCCTACTCTTTGTAGCCACTTGAAGCCCGGTAGAGGCTATAGTCTATACTACATCCCTTTTCTGATAGATTGGCAACCAAACAAAAATAGCAAAGATCATATGGTAGCTATAGTTTATTTTTAAGTAAGTCTATTGCCTAGTTCCTACTAATCAAAGTAGTTCCTATTAGGTGACGTACCTTGTTCGCGTCTGACTTCCGACTGCGCAGGGCCCAGTTCGTCCGCCCGTCCGAGGACATGGCCGACTGTGTCCGTGGCACCTCCAGAATTATGTCATCGTCACAGCCCTGCAGAACCACAACAATCATACACCAAGTTCTGTAAGAAATCTCTCAAATAAGATAAACAAATCCAGTAGATAAATTTTCTACAGCGTACACACAATGTAGGTACTTAAGACACTTTTTATGATATATAGCTACAACAATTGTATTCTCTCTTCTTGTACCAACACTAGTTCTTTTCCTTTCCTTCGTGACTGCTAATGCTCATGAAATGACCAGTCACATATACATCGGATGTTCTTATTGTCGTTACGTTAATCCGTAACAGTAACCATACAATCCACGCTACTGCAAACGGACGACACGGTGATTATGTTTCTGGACTGGCGCGGGAACAGCGCGGAAATTGAGCTGTATGTAAACACACTACAACACAGGCAGCTATTGAGACGGTGGCAATTCGAGGCGTCCAGGGATGACCTAAGCAGAAAAAGAGTATAATCCGTACTAGAAGAACCCTGTTTACGTACACAACTGGACAGGAAAGCTCCAATAGAGCCTGTTATGGCTGGAAGATCGAGGCTCAAGAAATAAAACCCTCTGACCGGCCTGAAAACCTCGCTCACAACAGTGAGGCTTTTGTGGAGTTATGTTTTTCCCAGTGGGAGACTTAACGACATTCCTGGTCAGCCATAATGTAAAATTATGCATACGTCATGTATGGCTATATCCTATTTAAAATTCAAGACGTTTAACTCTTTTTAGTAACAGTATTCCTCTCTGTATATGTAAGGAAATGTGAGATTTAATTATTTAAAGGTGTCCCGTACAGTTTTGGTGCTTGGAAAACAGATTTTTCAAAATCAATTTTCTAGTCACGTGTCTACATAGTAAGTTGAAACAACAACAAAACAACATTATCCCAACAGATATTGGCATTCATGGCGAAAAAATTCGAACTCATTCAAATCCTGGACCAATATATTGTACGGGGTACAACCCAGTAAAATAAGGGCATCGCGGCGTCTTGTTCCTGTGCTGTTTTACGCGCCCAAAGTATGCATTTCTGTATAGACTACCAGCTACGTGGAGGTTGTATCAAGAATCTATAGGATTTGGATTAAATTTGGGTGTGTTGTGAGAAACTGACATACATGAAGTCACAATTGTTGTGTTCCTAGATTCACATTTCACTAATGGTAATGGAGAAAGTCGTACCGACTTGTGAGCCGACCACAGGCGAAGGCTTCGGTTTCAAACAACGTTAAAACACCGGCACACAAATGACCAGTCATGGCAAAAACGAGCAAAGAAGCCGAAGGGAGACCTTCATGTCTAAGAAGGAAGACGCTTCTTGTTACATCTACGGACCAGTCTATCCATATGAGAAGCGGCTAGCGGATAAAGGGAGTCAAAGTCACTACCCGCATACTTAAACAGTGTTTACTGTTACATTGCGTAATAGCAGAGACAAATTGGTTGTTGGCATATCTGTATAGATTCATAGCGGCAAGTTAGATTACTCATCATTATGGGGGAGTCTGAACGATTTCTCCCTTTCAAGACGGTCTGGGGTCACACACCCCTTGTACGCCCCATGCAGTACCTTCAGTACGACAACAACAAAACAAACACGGTCAGTTTGTTTCTATGTCAGCGATTATCTCACTTCTGTACACACCACTGGTTCTGAAAGACACAGATTACCGTACAGAAACCCCTGCCTTATGATAACACTCATGGCATTTCGTAAACATACAAGCCAGGGATAGTCTACGAAGCTCTTAAACCAGCACTAAGTTTTGTGATCAACATCGGGTGGGTTCAACTACTGGTCCCGTCGTCCATTTGGTACGATCCAACTTTTCCCCACCTGTCGTTTTCTCACCTGTCAATCACCGAGAGGCAGTCTGACCGGTCTTCTGTCCTCACTGACGAGAAACAGCCACGAAAATTGGTCTAATTGTCGTTTTTCTGGGTGAAGAAAGCTGTTGTAATTGCGCCGCGTGTTTTCACACAACTTAAGTCAACTCGATAAGACACCCCTAGAGACCATGCCACAATTGAAGAGGTGTGAATATCGGACTATGTTTTGTCCGATTACGTCAGAGCGTCTTCTGTGTCCGAAAAATAAGATTATGTTTCTGGTGGCTGTATTGTGGACATGAAAGGTGATTCTCATTGCATTTATCGCTAAGGCTGGCACGCCCGATATAATGGTGTCAGTCTGGCGTGTTTGCAAAAGAAATAAACCTCATTTGAAGGACACGTTACTTTTTCTGTGCTTCATTTCAATTTGAGATCGCAGACTGAAACAAACTCAACACCGAAAGAAACCTTACGTTTGTAAAATGAATACAGCAGAAGTATATATTGTAGGGATATGTCGACAACGTATGAAGAAAAGGGGAAGGGAACGTGATCTGTCCTTTTGTGGTTCACCGTCTGACAAGGTGGAAAGTGGCACACCGGTCATGACCCCATGTAGCACACAAAGACACCGTGGCTGTCGTAGTATTTGCAAGTCAGCCACCCTAGCTCAAGTTCAGAATGTTTAAGTCTCCTGTGACTCAAAAGGCACTGTCATACTCTGACAACCCTCCATCCTGTCTCGCTATCTCACCCGCCGCCGCCTATAGATGTTTAGCTATATAGCTATCCATATAGCAGTCTGCAAGTACTGCAAAAATTCAGTGCTATACTGGCATTGGGTGCACGTGGCACACAGATTGAAACTTAAGAGCCCAAAAAATTTGAGGTTTCATCAAGACATACCCACTTACACCATGCTTACACCAAGTTTCATGAGCCCATCCTCAACGTCTTGAGTGCTAAACCATACATATCAGACGTACATACGTTTGCACACACATGCATACACATATACAAACGCTACCAAAAACATAACATTCGTGAGTAGGTAAAAAAAAGAAAACACTGCGCTTTTGAAGAAACTTTTGAAGTTTTAGTGTTGCTTCTTGCAGCCCCCTACGTTTCCATAGCGACAGATATCCAGTATTCACAACGTACGTCACACCTCCTTCATATGAGTTGTACCATGAGTTGAACCATGGCATGTCACACACGTGCCGTGCAACCATGTACTGTAACAATGCACTGCGTACTAGGCACCTCTGTAAGGTTACTAGGTACGTCTGCATATACGAGTAGCTGTAGAAAATGTATCGCATGATACACACAATCCGCATCTATGTTAAATTCCGATCTGTTTACATCCAAGTTTCGACCCAAGAACATGATTTTGTAACAAATCTATCGACAGAAGGTTATTTTCTAACTTCTTTTTACCGTTCTGAATACTTGAACCGATGAGTACTACTTTGCACCCGGTACTGTTTTGATTTGATCTGTTGATTAGTCGATCGTCTTAAGCTTTTCACACTTCGATAACATCTCAGGACGTGAGTCATATACATATATACATTGTCAATGAGTGTCATTAAACATCAACGTATAACACTTCTATTGATGATGTTCCTTTGAATTTACCGTCTTAACATTTTGCATACAACTACATAATACTACTATTAGATGCTGACTGATTTAGTGTAATTCAGAGAAAGCAGTTGTTGGTAGAATGGTTACACATTGGAAACATTCAACGAAAGACGATTTGATGCATGTTGATGGTGTCTCAGCCCTTTCGGCGTGTTTCCGTTTCGTGACGAACTGCACGTAGTTCTGTATCTAAATCTGTGGAACTAGTGAGGACACTTGGGTTGCAAAGACAAGATACATGTACGTACGTATAGTATACCGTATCTAGCTGTACAGACGTGAACACCCAATCGATATCTTCCCTAGCAACTTTATAGTCTCTACTAGGCTTCGGGAAGCGGCTGGAAAGACTAGAAATTGGCCGAATAGACTGATGATATGCCAGGGGAGTTTGCCCGCCTATTAAAAAGAACAGTTTGTCACCCCCTCCAACCGCTTCCAGAAGCCTGGTAGAGGCTCCTAGCAACCGCCACCTCCACTGTCCAAACGTTAACCACCCCCGGGTACTGACCACACTGCCACTGTACTGACCTCCCATGCTGAAGCCCGGCTGTGGCTGGTCCGGCCGGCCGGTGGAGCTGACCGAGGCATGGTCCCGTCTTGTATTAACACCACACAGCTCACACAGGACAACTTCGCAACTCAGAACTATCTTGTCAACACTTCGCACGCAGACTCATTCTCCATAGCAGGGCTTGGTGAGAGAAAGGCCGGTATGCAGCGAGGGTCTGCCGTGGATCCCTGGCGCGAGCTGGCACCTGCTAGTCCTACGTATACCAGTTACCTGGTGTCTAGGAATTTTCGCCAAGGCTAAACAACAACAAACGCATCAGTGACTTCGCGACACAAAAGAACCGTGCGGCCTGCGCAATTGGTTCTGCGCGATGCGTGGAATATCAAAACTTTTCGGAACACCTTGTCGGAACAGGTAACGCATCAACAGTGACGATACACGTCTGAGGCTCTAAGCGACAGGCACGCTGATTTCACCTCTTAAAACAAAAGGACAGCTATTACAATACACAGTGGAATATGTCCAGATTTGAATACTGAAATTAGAGCGCACATTGCTTGCGGCGACAACAACGATTGGAAAAAGAAGAGGTGTCACTGGATCTTTGACTTTTCAAGGCTTTCGTTACCGAAGAAATCACAACAAACAGGGCAAGGAGGTCTGACGAGGAATGTGTTTTACGCAAGGCATCAGTCACTCACACGGCTGTGTACGTGTGTTAACTGTGCTGTCTTGGCGACGACAGGTAGTAAAGTGATCGGAAGCCCTGAAGGCATTTCTGTAAAACTGGCCATTTCAGTCCTGCCCATGGGAGCAGCCTTGTCTTAACAGGTGTTGTCTGAGATCGGAATATTCCAAGGACAAAACAAGCAAAAGAAAATAAACAGACGGGTGGATGGACAGATGGCTGGGCGGTCACGACCACATGATACCTTGATACTCGAACTCCGTTCCACTGTGTATCAATGATATCTATGTCAAAGCCCAGCCGCTACATGTCAAAGGACTGTACTAACGTAGTAAGGCTGCTTGTGTATCATTCGTCTAGATAAGTTCTGTTTGGTCATGAAGCACAAACAAGATAATCATGCCAGAAATGTCATTGTGCGCAATCTTCTGTTGTGACCTTGTATGACCGTAAACTAGTGGCAGAGTCCAGGTAAAATAAGTTCCCATGGGCCGCAGTTGAGCGAATTCAAAGCATAGAAGAGGGATGTAGGCATACATTTATTTATTTCAGAGGCATGTGGATCCTTCTTTTACGCTGTTCTTCACCTCTAACATATTTCGTGATGTAAATACATTTCTTTATAACTTTAATAGAATATTATACATAGCTCAAAAGTAATACAAGAAGTATAGGAAACAGGTGAAACTACAGTGTAGTTTTCCCGCCACTATCCATGTTGTTTGTCTGTGTGTACCAACAACAACTGCCCCATTGATCCTCGTGTGTAGACATCAACATTTGCCTCATTAACACCTGATTCCCAGCTATCCAATGTTCTGCCCGAAGGCGGTACAGTTTACACCTGCCGGATCACCACTTGTTTCTACCTCATTTCCTTAAAGACAATGGTCTTTTCTTCTCTTCCGAATCACTCGCGTTGTGGTGCACTGCAGACGTGCAGTGAATTACTAAGGTATCGATGTACCTGTCACTCGTTAATCTATTAAGTTGAATGATGAGCATAATAACTTGTAAGATATAACAATGGCAGGTTTGCCTGGCTTACATGAGTGATGCTGTGTGTAAACTTGCAACTGGCCTTCGGGCATGGGTTTGTAAGTGGATGAATTCAAATGATCTAAGTACTGATACAATGTATGTGGATAATCATGCACTCCTTATGAAGGAAGCAACCAAAGTACAAAAACGTACATTTTATTTGATTACCCAGCAATAAGCTTATTATCTACAACATTACCATAAGTAAGATTCATTTCATAATTGCAAACATCACAAAAATAGAATCACAATTAGACCTGCTAAACTCCTACTAGTTTTTCTATACAGTAGCAACCCATGCAGTCTAGTTTACTAGTATCTTGGGCACAGCCATCGTCATCACAGCACTTACTTTAGCATAATTCAGCTTGAAGTATCATAATTTCAACCCATCCATTACTGGAAATAGAATGTCAGAGGTACCAACATTACAATCAATCACTACTAAGTGTGTGTCTGATGGTAAAAGGGCCAACACTGTCTCATGATCTTGTTGTGTAATTTTTCTGACTTGTTAAAATGTCTTTACAGATACACAGTCAGCATCGTACACAATGAAATGGAATATACATGTACAACATAGGTCAAATCAGTATCTTCAAAAAAGTTTATGGCATGCCACATTTTTATCAGTATTCTTAATACATCCACCAAAGATCTGTCCAAATATATCTTTAATGTTAAGTACATGCCAAAACCTGATATACAGAGTTCCATATATAATGTGGTCCATCTTTTATCACTATTTACAGCATGATACTATTAATGATAAGTACACTTCCAATATGGTACACAGCAGCAATTTACATCAAGTAAAACCAACCTTAAAGTGTTAAAATCAGCATGCTTAATCTAAAACTAGTTAAAAGCTTTACAAAATACAAACTTAAGCTTATCAGTTACATCCCCTCCATTTTTTTACCATGCAAATATCACTTTATTATCATCAACATGTTGCATTGAATGCTAGTGGTATCTTCAAATTTTGTTTAATTACCTTGTTCATATTCCATACAAGTATAATCTGGTACTACATATACCACTTAGTCATGGGAGTGAGCATAAACTCACACAAATGATACTCTGGATAATCCCATGTCACCTGACTCTTTCAAAGTGACACAGCAATGGTCTTTCAACATTGACTTTACTATCTTAATATCCCTACTATCCTATTCAAATATACAAAAGCTTTCGCGTTTGTGGTTGGAATGTTATGTGATATGTTTTCCCTTATCTAAATGCGGCCGAGGCGGATAGTGGCCTTGTTGACGTCCCATTTGGTACCTTCCCAGCATCCAACAGTTCTGGGGAAGTCTTGGAGTACTGCTTCTGGTGGGGTTTCGAGGTTTGAGAATGCAGGGACCTAAGGTGCAGATGACAGAAAGAGAACAGTTGTTTAACTAAGAACATGTATTTTGGAAAACATTTAAAACTGCATGAGTTGAATGATGTTGTTTCTTTGTGGTAATTTAGAAATTAAAGAGATGGCAGCAACGTAACACGTTCTTGAAAATAATGAAGGTATGAAGAGGTAGGTGACCCCATAACTGACCTCCATTGTCTGGACTCCGTCAGGTACTGTCTGGCCTTCATGATCTCAGCTCCCAGTCGTCTCAGGTCATCGCCCTCGAATGGGGGGATGTTGGGATCCTACAGAAAACAAACATACCACAAATGTTACAACTTTACTAATTCATTGATCCAACAAAAGCACCGAAAGAAATTGCCAGTGTAGCAACTTCAATGTACATGTATTAACTCAAAATCCTACATTCTTAGATGAAGTCTCTATCAAAATGTTACACACAATGTCTCTTTCGTTCTTGTTCGTAACGACCCATTTGAAAAGTATACAAATTTGAAAACAGTATGCATGTACAGATGTTCTTTTCTGTACTAGAGATTGAAGTTACATGTATCCATAAGACACTGACAAGTTCTGAGCAGTTTATTCTGGTAAGAAGTGACCACTTTTGACTCACATCTTCATCCTGGAACTCGCTTGTCAGGAGGCGGTGGGCAAACATGTGTCCATCATAATCACCATGGCAACGGTGGTACCGCCCACCTGTCTCTGACGCCAGCTGCTTCAGGAAGGAGTTGGCAGTGCTGAAGTAAGAAATGATTTTTAAATAAGTACCCTGTTATGTCAATCATATTATCAGTTTGATTAAAACATTTCACACTCAACACACGTTACTAAATAATGTACATGAAAATAAACTTTCATACACACAACCTACACGATCTACTTCACCCCACCTACCCACCTGCTAAATACCATCACAATCCATCTGACTGATCTTGAAATATACACCCAAACATCATCCAGACTAAAAACAATACTTCCATTCTTCATGTACTGCTTCCATACTGATGTAATGCTCCTTATATTTGTTAGGTGTTACCAAAATTACATGTATCTCTGATGCAACACTTACAGGCTCAGTCAGCTGGTGACAGGGCACAGTCTGAGCAAATTTCAACTGTAGTATAATGTGAGTTTACCAAAAGGCTGTCATTCATTTTGACAGTCTGAGAATAAATAACTTTGTATATGTTTCAAAGGTCTAGTTCTACATGTTGTACCTGTCATCACAGTTGAAGGAGATGGTGTTGACGTGCACCCCCCTCCCCTCGTTCATCTTAGCCACCTCCTTCAGCACCATGGAGGCACTCTGGTCAGGCTTCCCATCCGTCAGCAGGTACACCCCGTCCACTCCCGAGTCCTGGAAGGCTTCCTGTGGGGAGGGTCAGACAAACAGATAAAACATGTAATGTTATAAACTTTTTGAGTGGAGAGAGAATGTTGCAGATTGACAAAGAATAGTAGACACTGAAGACAGGAAATGAGTTGACCTTTTCACCATGATGCAGTCACATTTTTCCCAACCTGCAGGGAGACTATTTGTACCCACCCCCACTTTGATCATCTTTGATCTGTCAAGTAGCAGTTACGGCATTTCCATTTTTTTCTCTCACTTCTTGACACTCTACTGTATTTGAGTAACTATGGACACACAAGCAAACAAACAAAAATTTACATTGCAGGAAAGAAATACATTTGCACAGTGGTAAAGCAAACTTGACTGCATCTACATACAAACAAATCTTGAAGTCTTGTGATCTCTTAAGAAGTGGGAAACAAACCTCCAGTGCTCCCAGTGTGTTGGTGTTTCCCTCGGCGACAAATGTGGCCTGCCACTGGACAGCGTCATGGCAGAACTCATCTGTAGGTTCCACCAGCTGGACCTGCCACGTGTCCACATCACTGGAGAACCTGATCAAGTTGAACCTGTGGGGAGGAACCGCCAGGGTTAGCCATTTTCAAATGAGAAAATCTTGTGTTGACCAATCAGCACCAAGGACAGCACTCAAGATTTTTATAAGCAACCAATCAGCATGAACATAGTGAGAGGACAGAGCTTTTCATGACCAGTCAGCACCAAGGACAGCACTCATGATTTTCTGTAAGCCACCAATTACCATGAAAATCTTGAGAGGACAGGACTTTTCATGACCAATCAGCACCAAGGACAGCACCTATGAGCACCAATCATAATAAGGAAGTTTTCCTTACTTTTCTGTGTTGAGACAGATTTGGTCCCACACCAGTGATGCTAGTTCCTTCTTCAGTTCTGGCAGATGTGGACCCATAGAGCCTGAGGTGTCCACCAGGATAGCAACCTGGAATATAAGATTTACTCAGATCTAATCAACACTGTAACTATGCACTTTTTTCAATATTGAGTGCAACAGTAATACATAGATATAGATATTATATTGACATTGTGTATGTTGAAGGAGTGGACGTATGTAACATTACATGCAGCAACAGAGAAATCTTCAAAAGGCAGTGATATCTCCGAAACATGTACATGTAGTTATTTGAAATTTTTGTCAAAGAATCAAATCAAACCAAACCAAATTATATCTTACCTTCTTCTCTGTAATGACACCAAAGACTCTTCTGCTGCCTAAAATGGACAACACAACATTTGTTATGCTGGCATGGATGATCTTACACCTGCTACATGCTACACTGAACATGTCAGCTTACATAGATTCTAGTACTAGTCAAAAGGCATTCCTTACGGCTACAGAGTAACTTCTTTGTCAGAACAGTATTAAAAAGCTGCCCGTTGATTGAGATGTTTTACTTGACAGGATTGATAACTTTTCCCCCAACTGTATAATTTTGTAGATTATCATCATCGACCATTTTTGCCCCCATGCCCCACCTGACAGAAGCCACTGCAGCCTGCTGACGTATCTCTTCAGCAGCCGTTCCACCTGCGTCTCGTACTCCTCCAGCTCATGTGGCAGCAGCTGCAGGTGCTTCACCACACCCTGGGTACAGATACATGAAAAATATCAGCACAACCTTACCACACTTCTTTTCTTGTCCTAACAGGTAGTGCCAGCCCAATAAAAGAAATAAAATATTGCTCAGAAACTTGAAAATACATATGACAAAATGTCACTAGTTTAACTGTGACAAAAAAATCAAAGCTACATTGCATGTTTAGACTGATCATATAATTTGTAATTGTAGAATGTTGCAGTGCACATAGTTGCAAACAAAAAATAGAGAACTTTCTTCATTTTAATACACTTATAGCTGCCATGGAAACAAAAAATAGAGACCAAGTCATTTCAACTCACCTTGATTTCAACACTTGGGAAGATGGAGCAGTACCTGGGAAGAGAGAGGAAAGATATGAATCAACTTCTATATCTATATCTTCTGTCCAGCTCATATTGTAGCCAATAAAATCATGAGAAACAAAAAACAACAAATAAACAAGGAGGAGTTTAGAACTAGTGTCAACACTAACTTTGCAGCCACCCTCCTGTGCAGAGTTCCTACTTTCCTCTTCTCATGAGTGCAGTCTGGCCCGGCACACAGTTTGTGTAGGTCTAACCCCAGCTTCAGCAGACTGTACTTCTTCAGCCACTGGTGAAACAAAACACACAAGTTAGGACGACTTTCAAATAGTGTGACGTAAACAACGTGTTAACTTTAAAAACAACCATGCATTCAAGAAACAAATATGACTTTTTATAAGACTTTCTGGAAATCTTCAACAGTCTACACTGCATTGGTGTTATTTTGGAAGATTCTATTGTTGTTTAGGACTATGCCAGAGTTGTTTATTTATGTTGTTGTTTACCTGCTTGGTGGTGATGATCTCCTCCATGTCTGGGATGATGGGTTGTCGGATGTGTTTCCTCACACTTCTGTCCTTGGGATACTGGCGGAAAACAACACCTGGGGTACAGGAGAAACACGGTCAATGACTGCAGAGTGGTAGTTTTTCCTTTAAACAGTGTGGTAGGCATTTTTCTCAATGTTTAATTGGAAAATGCTATCTAAAATGCACACTTGGAGGGTAAAATGCAAACAAAGGACATCTTCCTTGCTACATTCTAAAGTCAGATATTTCTTCAAGAGCTATGGATACTGTTGCTAGACACAAGTAAAACTTGTAATAAGTACTTGTATGCAGTTTTGAAAATCCATGCATATCTTTATCTCCTTGTAACTAAATGCAATGTCACAGAAGGACTTTAGTGTTTTGTTCTTACCAACGTCATTGCCCACTTCTGTGTAGAAGACTTGAGTAGCAGGCCTGCCTGACTTCTTGCTGGGAGGGACCTTCTCACCCAGGCACCCAGCATGGGAAGACGAAACTGGAAAAGAAAGGAACATCAAAATCTTAGAGACAATGTGTCAGTCAATATCTGCATTAAGGAGTGACAACTCTTTCTGTAGTGGACTCATTCATTCCTTCATTTTATTCATTCAGTCACTTGAAATGCAAAAGAAAATGTTACCCAATATAACAAGACACTTCAAATCTGTCCTATATGCATATATCACAACAAGTTGAACATCTCACCTCCAGGAATAGTTGCCTTGGCACTTTGGGGCCGCCATGGTTTCTGTTTGTCTGAAGAATCTGAGTCTCTGTTTTCCAGGAGTTGCTAGGAAATTAAGAGAAGGATAAACAATTGGTAAAAACACAGGTAGCCTTGCAGTTAAAGTTGAAGTTGGTACTTAGTAATTGGTTTGAAGATGTTGTAGATCACAAAGAATCTTGGTACAAGAGTACAAGATTTAAATTCACTCAACACAGCTATAAGATTTAATTCACTTATTTGCAAACTTCTGACCAAAGGCCAAGGGAACACAAATACATATGATGACATACAATTTATAGTAGATACAAATTTTAGATTTGAAACATACAGTTTTGGAATGTTACATGGGCTAATGAGTGCAAGAAGACTTAACTTGACTTTATTAGGATCCACAGAAGAAATAGGAAACAGGATTGTTTCAAACCAACATCATTTGATACTTTGACGTTTACCTTTCTGGCCAAGAAGAGCTGTGTAGGTTTGGGTGGGATGAGAGCCTTCTTCTCAGCAGATTTGGGTCTTTTGTGAAGCATTTTCTTGTCTTGCTGACCATTCTCAATAGCCAGTGCCTAAGTGAAATAAACATATTAGATATAAAACTAATATGTAACATAATGATCAATGCTAATTGATTGAACATACAACTCTTCCAAGGACCACAAATATCCTGAGTTTTAGTTGATTGCTCTTAAAATGACATTTATAAGGCACACTGTACCAAAAGGTAATAAGAAAGAAATAAATATCATAGCATAATTATAATTATAATAAAAGTATGCACAAACCTGTTGGTATTTGATTGCTCTCCTTTCCTCTGCTCTTCTCTTGACTGAATCCACCAGCATTGCACACTGGTGGGAAAAAACAAAGAAGATCAGCAGTGATTTTATGTTCAAACCTTGAGCCAGTACAGCTTTATACATGTACCAGAAGAACACCACCTAGCTGTTGTGACATGACCTTGACTCTCTAGCCTTCCATTCACCTAATTTCTCCCTTACCTTCTGAGAGTAGTTGACAGCCCGATCTCTCTCGTTCAGTACAGCAGTGATATCGTCAGACTCGATGATGCCTACAGAAAGAGTATCACAACAAAGCAGATGTTAAGTATCAAACATAGAAAAGTCAGTCAAAACATTGGATGCCTTGTTAAGAAATCTGACTGACCGAGCTTAAAAGATACATTTGGATACGAAAGAAAAAATCTTGTAGCTGAACTGAGAAATCTGTGACAGAATCCTGACCTGATTCGTTGAACCAGTGGAACCTGCCCCGCCCGGTGTGAGCCATGTTCTTCAGAGCCTCGGCAGTTTTGTTGATGTTGGCGTAGCGGCCGGGCATGCTGCCTGACGTGATGTTGTCATCGGCGCTGAACAGGATACAGTGGAGCTTCAGGTCGTTTCCTCCACACGTCTCAGCAATGTAGGAACAAACCACATCCTAGGGAAGGAAACAAAACTGTCAGATGAGTTTAAAATAGACTAACTGTGAGTGGAAGGGGAAGGAACTTGAAAAGAGAACATCTTGTTGATGAAAATTTAGATGTAGAATTGTTGACCAATCAGCACCAAGGACAGTACTTGTGACTCATGTAAGCCAGTAGTCACCATAAAGGTTTATACAATCAATACATAATAACTGTCATAACAATTTTCACGAACTTCAAATCAGATTCTTTTTCTTCATCCCTAATATTTCCATAAAAATCAGGCGCTGACCTCCTGCTGGTCGGGCACCCCGCTGGTGAAAAGATAGACGCCCTGCGCTGCTGTGTGGAACTTCTCATCCAGATCATTCTCCACGGCGTACTTGTACCCCTCCAGGAAGTTCCTACTCCCGCCACACTCCAGGTTCAGAACCCATCTAGATACAGAGCAAGAATTAGTCACACATAAACTTTTATCAGTAATGCCAAAGAATTCAAAACCAAATCTGAAACTATGTAATACTGTGCCTTTGAGATTATGTGGGATTATGTTCCAGCAATTGGAATGGCAAGCAAATGGTTTTGCCTGATTTTCCTTGAAACTGTAAATTCAGTAGTTTAAGAATGAAAGTTTCTAAACTTACTTCCATGCACTCTGCAGGTTTTCAGGTGTTGGTGGCTGCAGGGATTTCTTCCAGGACTTCATCACACTTCCAAACCTGCAAAATTAGAGAGACTATCATTAATGTCCTTGTAAATATACTTTAATAACTTCAAACCATAAGTAACTAACCAAAAATTATCAAAATTCTAATTAAGATAAAGATAAATAAATCCTTTTAAAATTTAAGTTTTTTGTGAGCGAGTATATTAGTAATGAACAAAGTTAACAAGGTAGGAATCCACTTGTCTAACGTAAGCAAGTAATTTCCTTACGCCACGATGTTGAAGTAGGCCTTGTTGCCCATCTGTTCCTCCAGCAGCAGTCTGAGGGAGTGTTGGATGTGGATCAGGTAGTTGGCGTTCATGATGGACAAGTCCACCAAGATGACCACGCGGTTCTCGCACACCGTCCCCCAGATCCGACGGCTGCCGCTGGACAGCCAGTCCACGCGCCTCTCGTACGTCTTGACGATGGCGCCCAGCCGCTTCTGGTAGTCGTACAGCATGGTCGGGTCCACGTGAACGTTCTTCACCGTCCCATCATGCCACTGGAACTGGGCCATGGATTTCTGGGATACAAAATGGTGGCAATGTTTCTCTCAAACAGTCAAAGAAACATCAGTGTACTCCAGAGCTTAGTGCATTTTTAACTACCGGTACATGTACAATGCCATGTAAATTGGTTTCATCTTCCAAACACACACCAAGCAGTCTTGCCTTACTCTTTCATAGATCAAAGATGATGTCTATACAAACAGATGTACAGGTACAATGTAACGTTACATGTACTGTGCCCTTTACGTACCTCGTGAACTTGTGATGTGACAACCTTCTTGATGACTGGAATAAACTCCTCAATGGGTGAGAAGGCGTTAGGTGACAAGACCTGGTACAGGTTCAGCTTCTTACCTAGTCAAGACAAAATGTTGAAAAACTCTTTCTTACTGATTTCATTACAGAATTGTTTGAATATGCAAATAGTCATACATTTGTTCAATATTGTGTACTTTTGTCAGCACTTGTTACTGACCTTTCAGTCCGTTTGTTTTCAGCCAAACCTCGGAGGTTTTTGGCTGGAAGTTTGGAGTCTCGATGTTGAGTGGTCCGCTGTGGTTGGGAGGGCGGGGCAGGAACCTGGACTGGGGCAGCTTCTCTACCTCATAGGAGATCTGAAATGGTACAACCCAACTTAGCAACAAATCCAAGATGTACATTCCAAAGCTTGAATCCAACATCATTCATGTTTTTTAATTCATGGTTTAACGACAAACTTTTCTGCTCAAAATATTTCAGAACCTAGTTTAAAATTGCATTTCTCTACTTTGAGAACAGAAAACACCTTCCAGTTTTTAAACATGTACCTTTAATATCCCAGGTTCCCTGTAACGCTTACCTCGTTCATGATGCTGATGAGGGCATCTCCCATCATGCCTGTTCTCATCTCCTTGATCTTGGCGATGACGTCCTGAGCTCTCTTGGACTCCCTCAGGAGGATACTGATATCTGTGCCGGTGTAGATTTGCTCCTACAAACAAAATGTGTCCCAAAGTTTTTAACTTGTCAATGACTATGATTAAATACTATTTTTAAAATTTTATTGATAATGATTTGTCTAGTTGTATATCTTTCATGAAACCAAACAAACTTCAGTAAATTATAAGAGCAACACCATACCGTGCAGCCTGAAGCGTAACAATGGTACCTCCCACCCGATCTTTCTGCAAGTGTTCTTAGTGTAACCTACGTTGGTGAATAGAACAGAAACAAACATTCAAACAGTTAGATCTATTCCTTCGACTAAACAGTAATAGATATCCATATCATCTTGATGGTAGAAGAACATGAATGTCCATTCAACTTGGTGATAAAAGGAGAAAGATCAAATTCTTGGGCTCACGTTGGTCATGTGATTGCTGCAGTCGTAGGCAACTGTGTGTATGGGTAGTGCCCTTCCCACCATGCACTGCTCCACGTAGTTACAGAGGATCTCAGTGGTCTGGTCAGGGCTGATGAAACAATAATAACACAACATTAGAAAAATACCATCTTTGTCACCTTAGTGTACTCAAGATCTGCAACAATTATTATTTAGAATTTTAAAGCAAGTAATTGATTTGTGTACATATACTTGAATACCATGATGTTAAAGAGCTTTTTTGTATTCCTTTTGATGACCAATCAGCACCAAGGAGAAGGCACTTTGTAGACATTTAGAGCCAATCAGTAAGTCAACAACCCTTCACTTCTTGTTGTTCAGGGCTTTTGATGACCAATCAGCACCAAGGAGAAGGCACTTGGTACCCAATCAGAGCCAATCGGTAAATCAACTTCACTCACCAGTTGCCCAGAATGATAAGTAAGTAGTTGACTTTCTTGATAGTCAGAACCTTCTTCAGTGCCCTGAGTAGGTTACAGCCACCGGTGCCCTCTCTTCTGGCCATCCACTCTCGGGCCTCCTGAAGACTGGATGGGAACAGAGACGTCAAATTATGATCTTTACAAATTCTGTCATTTATCTATATATATATATACTGGGCATGATTTAATTCTAAATGCTTAGTGAATGTGGCTTCATTTCTTTCAAAGAAACCCTTGTGGAGCTTAGCTGCTAAAACGTTAACTAAAGATATATCTTTTTTTCCAAATGTTTACAAATAATTACAAATTCCTAAGAGAGCTAGAAATAAAGAACTTGATAAATGAACTACCAACATCTGTCTTGAAGTTTGATACTTTAAATTATCGGCAATTTTGCTCCAATTTTTCATGTGGTGCAGTATTCTGATAGTCTTGCTGTGCTTGTCCAGAAGACAAGATGACTACTCACGTTCTGACATTGACGTCTCTGACATTGTCCCAAAGCGGCTGGACGTCTGTGCCAAATGACATGAAGTACAGACCATCCTTCGTGCTCAGCTGTTCATCTATCAGGTGCTACAGGTGCAGAAATGTAACACTCATCATGCCAAGAACACTTCTACAATAGTCCATCATTACTGTAAGTGGCAGGTATACTGAGAGGTACAAACTAGTATAACTTTTGGTATTATACTTTGTATCTCTCTTCTTGTGTAAAATTGTATATATTTCAGATGTAACTTTTATTATGTGAAACACATAGGCCATTCTACAAAAGAGACTAATCTCAAGGATAAATGTATTTACTGCAGTGGTTGAGTGAAACATGAACTTACTACAATCTCGTCCTTGAAAGCGTTGATGCGGCCAAATGCACAGTTTGCATCTGACGTGTCAATCAGAACGGCAACCTTCGTACCCTTTACTAGACCAAAGTGCTGGAGAGAACATCACAACAAAAGAAAAGGTGTCAAAAGAGTGACATTTTACACATGTAACGTTATACTGATGTATAAAAAGATAATAAAATCTTTCTTCATCAACAATGTTTCAGACTGAAATGCAAGAGGACTTGATATCATTCTGTGGAAGTGTGTATGAATATCACTCACCCTTTTGGTCCCTTGGAGAAGCCATTTTATTCTCTTGTGATACTGTTCAATTGCTCTGAAACGTACAGAAAAAATATATTTTCAAACTGTGACAAAATGTAAATTTCAAATTGAAAAGCAATCATTAAAATTATATAATGTTACATGCTTCATTACACATTGTCAAAATTGATAAAAGATTAAACTTTGTTTACAAGCAAGCATCACTCTACACAAAAGACGCAAAGTATATGGAGAACTTACAAATTAAGCTTGTATTCAAACTCATTGATGTCAGTTGCTTCAAACTGTACGTGTTTCATGGGTTTCTCTGAGCTCATCTTAGCCTTGGGCCTAAATGGGAGAAAAAAACACATATATCAAGATCACATTTAATATATTTACTTTTTATTCACTCAAACATCAACTGTGTACAGCTAAGCATTCAGCATTGATAATCTTCATATTTATTTTGAATGAGAACAAAGTTTCACTAAAAAAAATTCATGCAGCTTCAATTTTGAAGCTAATCAAGAAGTATGTACATTGTAACTGAGGAACAAATGTGTCTTCAATAAAGATTAGCACTTTTGTATCGTACCATTTACTTACACATGTCAAGGGTTTGCAACAACAAAGGTGCTACAAATTAGGAGACCTTAAGTACATTTTGTGTACCTCTAGACACGACATACGTTAGAATATCTACTTGAGTGCTGAAAATCTATAGGGTTTTCTTACTGAGTGACTTTCCCCTTGTTCAGTACATCCTTTATCGTCAGCCCCTCATGTTCAATGCTGTGGTTGATGAGCCATTCTTCTGAGGACTGCCCCTCCCCAAAACCTGCCTCCACATCCTTGGCTCTCTGTACAACAAGCAAGAAGCACACAGTGGTTAATATTAAGTGATTATCATATTACTCAGTTGAGCCTCTGTGACGTCAATAAAAATTCTTTGAGTTTCACATTAGCCTCTTTACTTTCTATAACTGTTATAGTTGTAAACACAGAAAAGTGGGATAAAAAAAAATTTTACTAGACAAGTATGATATAGACAAGTATTCTACTAGACAAGTATGATATAGTCTTAACTGTCTACCTACTAAGATAGCAGTTTCATACCAAATATGGTTATGGGTTTATACAATGTAGGTAGCAGGGAGAAAATACATAAAATTTATGTCTTGATTAATCATACATTTAAATGAGATATTTTTCTTCTTTGCCAAAATTAGACTATGCAAAGCAGGAATATACATGTAGTTTCTCAGTTACTTTTCTCATTAGCAATACCAAATACACCTGTCCATTTTTTTTCTGCAAACTTTTAACTAACGACGGACCAGTAGATTTTTGGTGTGCTCCACTTTAGTGATGAACATGTCGTTAGACAGTGGATACGGCGCCGGCGGGATGTCAATGTCTCGCCACTCCGGCCGCTTCCTGCTCTCCGTGATGAAGGTCTCGTCTGGTTGGCTGGAGGCATCGTGGAGACGTCGGACAGTTTCTGCCTCGTCTGAGGAGATCTCTTCTTCCGCTAGCGAACTGGGCGTTACAGGAAAGGGATGACATATGTATTAATGGCACTGGCATTGATGATCAATAAAAAGTGATAATCTGTATCTTGTCATACAAATCAAAAGGACCTTTACTCTTGTTTTTCATGCACCTTGCAGTGGTTGCCATATACTAATATTGTCAGAATAGGACTCTAATCAAGTCTATTATCTAAGTTAAAAAACCTCAGATTCGTCCTTGCTGCAGACCTGGCCTGAAGATATGTTTTTAAATCCAAATCAATTTTCTAAAGGAAATCTTTGTTGAAACCAACCAAAGTATTGACTGAATCTGAGGTACAAATAGTTAACTTGTAATTTCAATGACAACATTGTGGGATAAACCTACCTTGCACTAACATCCATTCTATAGCATTAAAAACATGAGAAATATTGAGTAACAGAATTATAACACTGATAAGTCACAGATATTTGTGTACAAATATTAAAGCATATGTGAGTATGACAATGGTATCAATACTAGCACATGGATGCATGCGTAGCGCTGTCGCTGCCAATACCATTTTTGCCTGCTTTAATTTCTTGAAAAATCATTCAACATTAAAATTAGAAATTAAAGTAGTTCCCATACTTGAGGATACTGTCAACTGAAGATGTTTAAAATTATAAGCCCAATAGCCTCTAAAATGGGCAGCCTAAGAGAGTAAGTTGTAATAGTGAGTTGGCAGTAGCATGAAAGTCAAGTGTACGATCCTGGAATGGCCACCCACTTTATTTATGAAATTCTACATGATTCTTTTGACATAAGTGTTGCGAGGTGGTGGAGCATACAATGTATATAGGGCCAAATACAGATGGTGCAGGTGCCCACCCGTTACACCTAAAATACCACAGTTACACCTGCACCTGATACATGTGTTCCCACCACTGCTACTGCAAACTGCACCCATAGCTCTATACTACAGGAGAAATCCTGCAAAGGGAACTTCCTAAGATACTTCATAGGAAAATACAAAATGTAACAATTTTTAAATGACTATGAATTAAAATTTTGATAGCTAGTGCCGACTTCTATATCTTTCAGATAAAGATCCACTTTAAGTATGCCTTGTAAGGGTAATATTGTAGTAATACCTTACATAGGAACCCGAAAAACAAGGTGGTAAACACCAACGCTATTTTGGTATGTACGCCCCCCTCCCAACAACGCACATATTTCCCAACAAATGAGAGGAACATGTTAGAGAATTGACACAGATCCTTACCTTGTCTCGCTCTCCTCTGTAGCCATATCTGCCACTTCTTGGCCTCTTATTCCCCAGGACAAGAGGACAGATCAAGGCCAAACGAAGAAAACCATAATACGTTTCAAAATGGCGCAAGTCGCTATTGTGTATCGGGTTGCCAATGGCTACTTCCGGGTTGTTTATAGTCTAACAGCGACATCTAGCAGCCTTGTTATATATTACAAACTGCACACCCATTCTGTCACACAAATACATGCAGACGTACTTGTAACCACCTGTTTCACAAGAGATATCCTGACAAGTAGTCGCTCCTTCCTTCAAGTGAAAATGATGACATTGCAAAGAATTACACTTAGATTGTCCGACGTTGTGTACGTTAACGTTATGTGTACTGACGCTATGTTCATGAGATATTTATTACAAAGAACGATGATTTTTATTTTATTTTTTGTAGAGATACAAGATAAAGAAGGATGCGCTGCTAAATAAACAACTACTTATGTTCCACTTGTGAATTTTCCAATGTTTTTGTTTTTATCCAAACATAAGTACGTCATAAATAGTAAAATATATACCGTGTTTCTTACAACTATATTATACATGAGCGTTTACAATACTACCGTTTGAAGTAATTTAAGAAATACATCTTTGATGCAGGATAAACAGACGGTTACAGGTGATCAGTGTGCCTACGTATACGTCTTCTTTTTTTCACATGTACATTGTATGCTGCTAGTACGAGTAGTAGACATGCCTTACAAGAGTCTTACTACACCATCAACGTTTCTAGCCCAGTTTTAGTCACATTACAGCAAAATGTTAGGATTTGGCAAATGTGACCACATGGCGTCGTTATATGTCTAACATCTCTGCGAAATGCCAGTCCCTTTTCCCAAGCTGACGAGCGATGAGTGGGTAGCCCGATTTGAGGAGCGCCCACTGGAGACCCTGCAGCGATATTTTGTCTCCGTTCATCTGTTTCCATTCTGAAAAGAAATGGAAAGGAAATCCATGTGAAGAACCGTATAGGAAATGTTAACCATATTTATATTTATATTTGATACTCGAGTGGCTTTTCCACTGGCTTAAGCCTTTTTAGGTGTGTACTTAAATTAACGTTATATATAAGATAAAGCATTCAAAGCTTACTCCACAGCATCTGGAAAGTCATTTCTTTGAAGTCGGGACGATGTTCGTCTCGGATGCTGTCCAGGGTAGCCTGTGTCGGAGTGTCACCGGGCAGCTTTCGTGCCAGATGCCTCCACCCCTTGCCGATATGGTCAGCGACGTAGTTAAACACATGTTTCCAGTCAACGTCTGTAGACAGGTAAAGTGTATTAAATATAATAAAGGGATTAATAAAAGTATGAAATGACAATGATCACCGTCGAAATTGATGACTGTAATGTGGACTGAAGTATTAATCTAAATAATATTAATGTTAAACTGATATTACTGACGCATAATATTGATAAGGCGAACTGTTTTACTAACTTTTGTTACTGGTGTTTTCCGTCTCTTTTGAAGTGTATCGGCCTTTGCAACACGCTCCGGTGGCCACAGCGATGACAATAATGCCTGCTAGACCACCAAGACCGCATGCAAGTGGTCTAATGATTGATTCGCTTTCCGCTAGGTCGTAAGAGAGGGTGTCGTTGGCGAATGACGAGTCCTGGTCCCATGCCGTCGTGTCTGATTTAAAGAAAACAAAACACAAAGACACGCATAAATCTGCTGCCACAATATGATATTTAGCCTCTCCCAGCCTTCAGAGCAGCTACAAGAGTACCAGGGTAGATAGTCCGCTAGTTTGCCGCATGATCTGAAAAAGCGGTTTAAGTGACCAGGCAAGGCGAAAATATATCTAGAAAGTCATTTAGATTGTCGTTTGACAAATTGCAATCTTGGTACACATATATACATCTTGTAATAAATGTGTGGAAACGTACTGCCTGTAGCACTAGTACTGGTCGTGGCTTCCTGAGTTGTTCCGTTGTGGTTAGGACCTCGCAGTGATGTAACGTTGTCGTGTTTGAAGTCTGTTGCGCCAGCCGTTTCGTAAGGTTTGCACATCCCAGGTCCGTTCGCCCCCAGGTGCACCTGCGCTGTCCCGGGTCTGCAGGCGCAGCGCCGCGGTGCGGTCGGGGAACATTCCTGCAGGGTAACCAAGTTAAGGTCACCGTCACAGATGTCCCCACAGCTACGACACTTGTCGCCATTGTTGTAGAACGGCATGTAGAAATTGTAGGGACACAGTCCACATGTCCTCCAGTGTTCACCATCACAGTGCCTGCAAGAGTGGAAAAATGGACTCAAATCAACTCTCATTATCTGTGATCATGTTTATGATTAATATGCTGGAGAGCTAGTCCTATCTCAAAATACCGTGCATTTGTATGGTCTAATAGTATATATAGGTTTTATAATTACCACCTGTAACGTGCAAAATAGCTTACCTGATAAGATAATGGCCTGGTTCACACAGTTCACATGTTCGCAGGTGTTGCCCGTCGTAGTACCGGTACGTGCCAGGTGTGGACTGGTAGATGGTGCGTTCTAGGTCAATATAGGTGACGTCATCTGAAAACGATCTTTGCGACAGCTAAAATCGTGATTCAAGAGAGAGAGAGAATAATGTTTAGCGATTTTGCGTACATGCATGTAGCTCGTCCACTGATGGTAGACCAATTAATTTTCGCAATAAGCTTTTAAACCTGTTTGGCTTTCACTATGTCGTGAAAGAGTTCTGTTAGCATCGAACTGTTAAACATAACGTCACACAGTCTGTGACAGCTCTACTTGTGCATACCGGTATACCGTTATATATAATCCAAAATCCTGTCAGTATAGTGGACTTAGCAGTATGTGGCGCATGCAACATGACGTCACATGTCACGCGACTTCGTTGGACGAAAACATGATTTACAAAACAACAACACGAGCAAGTTGAGTATTGTTTTGACATGTACACATTATGGACTTTGGACTCATTTGCAATAATCACGAGCCCGTAGAAAATGGAGGTGCGCGACAAGTCCACACATGCTCATAAATAACCTGGGTCCCTTCCAGAAAAGCTAGGAAAAGCTCAGTTGAGTCATGCAAATACCCTCCAATAGGCACGGTTCCAAGAAAAACACAAATAACATAGATTGACAAACAGACATCCACAAATTCCACTACATATATCTTGGACGTATCGTAGACAGGTGAAGATGGTGATAGTTTTATGTCATTGCCTTTCTTTAAAACATTAGTCGGAACAAGATTATCATCCCGTACGATGTGATATATATTTTACAATGCTAGATATGAAACCACAAGCCTCTTGTTTTTTCTTTCAACGAAATCTGTTACTTAGCTCCGCTGATTCATTGAATAAACAACAAAGGACTGTGACGTTTTCGCGGGAATGTTGATGTCAGCGGGTCTGTAAATGTATCTTATCTAGTCTTCCACTTCTCTTTCCATTTCCCACACAATGTGTATCTTTTTTTCAAACAGAAAATATTGAGTCTTGGAACTACTGCAACGATTACGTGTACGTGTTACAGACTCGGGATCAAAGATCGCTGAATGACGCAGCAAGGAAGGGTCGTCAAACATTTCATACTATTCTGTACGTTAAATATCACTCAAGTTGTGAAAATGTTCTACTGTTTGTTGCTACTATTTAAGTTACAGAGACAGTACGGACAACTTTTAATGAGCAAATGATAAAAGATATATATACAGTCCTTACCTTGATGACGTTTGCGTCTGCGACCAGCCATTGTGCTCCAAGTTGGACGAAAACAACAAGAGCCCACAATCTGATCATCGGCGTTGACGCCTCTGTTTCTGAGTCTAGAAATCCAAGCCTTTACCCTCCGAGTGCTTGGAGAACACCGCTCGCCAAGTTTTGAAAGTCCACTTCGACTTATGCTGGAGATATTCGCCGTTTATAACCCTGGCCTTGCCCGTGGTGCGTAGTCTTTTCTCGACTTCTCATGGTCCGTCGTTTACCCTTCTGAGCGCGTTCGGAGTTACGTATACGTGCAATGAGAGTTGTGCCGTGATTGGTTGGTTGCCGACGAAAGGTAAGATACTGACCAATCAACAAAGTTAGTGTATAATGTCCTTGGTTAGGGCGACTGGCCAAGGGGAAGTCCCTTACTCGCCGTGCCCTACTAGTAGGTGGTTACGAAAGTTTAGGTATTACTATGTCTAAAGGTTAATCGCCTGAAGTGACTTGGTAAATATGATAATCCACCGTCCGTTATGGTTTTTAAAGAAAATGCTGTTCATTTGACCGCTCATTTATTGTTTAATCGTGGTTAATGAAGTGTACTGATTATGAAGAGGACCGGCTATCCATAATAGATAATAGGGCCCTAAAATGTCGTCATTTCCGGGTAAGTAACTGAGCTCCACAACTGAATATTCATGTTCCAAATGAGCATCGTCAGAGATGTTCCCAGCTGACATAAAAACATCCCCTAGTGAATTTCATTAGTTTTTTGCTTCACGTTGCGATCTGTGAACTTTGAAGTTTGACTCATGTGACGTGTCAAGAAAGCAAACCAACTGTGTCGACCTTTGAAATCCTTTTTATTCCGTATGACTCATACAAAAACCAAGCGTCAATATAACCAGAAACAAAACACTGAGAGCTGAGTGTCATGGGACATACTTCATGTAGTTAGTAACCGACGAAACCATACCCTGATGGTTTTAAATAATGAATGTCTAAACCTCTAAATATCGGTCAGCTGGCGCAATTGCATTCAGTAGAGATTAAACAGTGGCAGTCCACGCTGACATTGTAATAAGTTGCATGTTCAAATTCAAGAGTGATGTCACATAGTAAAGCTGACCCGGTAAAATGACTACACCGGTGTTACTTTCATCCACATCCCGCCCCTGGCCATCATCAGTATCCCCATCTCCTTCACAACAGGGCGGCTTGGGTCAACTTCAAATACAAACCTGTGGAGACAGATATAACGCTACATGTATGATTCGATACATGTCATATATATCCGTATGAGAGATATACATGCATACATTCTACAAAAAGATGTTTACAAAAAGAATGCCAATCCCTATGGCCATTTACATACATTATGTATATCGAAGCTAAGCAGAGGAATTTGGAATTGTAGCGCAAGTGCGTTTAATGTAAAAAAAGTGTGACAAATCCAAGTATTTCAGTATTCAGCCGACGTTTCAGTGACCGCCTGTCACCTTCCTTAGGGCAATTCGGACTGGCTCACTTTTGTTTTACCCTGGGTAGGTGACAGGTCACCAAAACGTCGGCTGAATAATACATTGTACACTTAGATTGCTTGCGTAACAAGTCTCTTCATTCAGTAACGTACTAACGTGATGAAACACGACAAATATAGCTAGTTTTTTCTTTGGATACTTGATTGTCCGGATGATATCTCGCTCAACTACTTGTTATATAAGATTAACGTTACAAGTTTCACTCACTTGTGAATCAGCCTTGCGAGCAGCACCTTCTCTTCATTCATTGCGAAGTTTTGACCAATGCAGTTCCTGGTTAAGGCAACAAAAATGTCAGGCTAATCTAAAGTGAAGACACACTGACTGTCAACTTGATATTACGTAGAAACAACCACACGTACGTACCATCACCCTACCCCCCCCACCCCCAGCAAAAACAGAAAGACTACAGTACTTTTTTCCAAACCATTCTATCAGACTTCATTACCAGACTGTAGAATCTGGCACAGGAAAGATGGTACTTATCCTGTCTGCGGCGCATAATTTATGCGTATTTATGTGTTAATCTGTATTTTAATTTGTAAATATCAGCGGCATTAAGGCTACTTTTGAGAAAATGTTTACGTATGTCTGCAATGTTGATATGTTAAAGAATCATATTGAAGAACCTTTGCCCTGCAGAGAAGGGGATGAAAGCGTGAGAGTCCATGTCCTTCAATCGGTCAGGGTGAAAACGACTCGGATCAAACTCCTGTATTGATCAATAAAGAGATCAATAAAAAGATCAATCAAATGGTCGATCACGTAACGTGAAAAGTACATTAAAAGTGAACTTTTTAGTTCTTTTAATTTAACATAGCGTCATTGGTCACATAACGTGAAAAATACATTAAAGTGAACCTTTTAGTTCTTTAATTCAACCACTTTGCCTCACCATGTGATCAGGCCCCCAGACGGCAGGGTTGTGGTTCAGTCCGTATATGTCGATCCCCATGTACGTGTCTTTGGGAATGTTGACGCCCTCTATGACACAGTTCTCCTTGGTAGCTCGGGAGATGCGCGCAACTGGACTGTGTAGGCGCATGGCTTCCTTCAGACACATGGTCAGGTACGGAAACCTGGAGAGGTCGTCCCTATGATGTAATGGTAGAACTCTAAAGCTTAATTCAGGCCAGTAAAGGTTGAACCCCTACTCTTTTAGATATATTTTTTAGATAAATGTAAGTGCGATGGGTTCTCTAACGTGCGTGAGGTGTGGCTCTCCCCAAAGATAGGACATCCATTTAACGATCTATCCGACTGACGTCCTAATCGAAGCTATTTTCACCTGAGTGGGGTGAAGAAAATGCTAATTTTAAGCAAAACATGAAATGCAGAATTTGTCTGGGGATGCATCTTACCATTGAATGGTGACATCCTCCTTGTCAGCCAGTAGACCGTTGACTTCTTCCCGCACCTTGTCCTGGTGATGTGGATGTTGGGCCAGGGAGTACAGGGTCCAGGACAGGGCACTCGCAGTCGTGTCGTGTCCTGACGAGAAAAAGCCATAAGACAAGCTATGACTCCTTTTTCTGAATATCATAAACATTCAAAAATCTTTGCGCGTGGTCGTTTTACATTTTGATTAAAAAAAAGCAATTTAATTCACCAGCAAACAGGAAAATGTTGACTTCCTGTCTGATTTCCACATCCGTCAGACCTCTGCCGTCCTCGTCCCGAGCCTTCAGCAGAATGTCGAGAAAGTTCAGCGTTTTCTTCTGCCCAGTTGTCTCCCCATGGCTGCCCTGCACGGAATGAAGGGAGTTTTGTTGTGGTTTAATATTGTCTTGCCATACATGCGCCTGCTACTGACACCTGCATTTTAACCATAAAGCCCCTGCCATAGCCGAATATGTCCTCCCGGACACTGGCCGAACTCACTCCCTATCATAGTTAGGAGTAGGCGATAGGTAGGGAGCGAGGCCGGCTTGGCCGATTATTGGTATTCGGCCAGGTGAGCTACTGATCGGCTGCGCAGAATATCGGAGTGTGGTTGACAGTGAAATCTGACTAAAAATTGACTTAAATTCGATTCGATCCGCATGGAAAGGTGGGTAAAACTGCTGCCAACATTGGTCGGAAGGCTCTGAATGTGTGACGGGCTTAAGTTGGAATCAAGACCTGGACACTTTGTTGTGTATCGTATATCTGTCACTTCTTATTGTTTCTTTATATATCTTACATTTGTATTTCTAACAGGGTTGATTGCTTAAGACAATTATTTGTACTAGGCTTTTGTGCATAGTAATGATAAGGGAACATGGATGTGGAAAACAGGCTGTTTACTCAGATGTGACGCGTGCACAAGACGTACTAATTGTTGTCTTCTTGTCTTGATGATGTCGTCCGCCGTGCGGTGGGTAAAGTCACACAGACGCCTGAACTTCCGTCCGTCCGGAGAGAGGTTATAGATGGACGGGAAAAACGAATAGATCGGGTTGCTGTAAAAATAGAACGACAATAAACATATTATCAACGTTGTAAATTAAAAATCGATATTTGAATAAGCATTGGGTTTAGGGATCGATTATGATATGATTATGAAATACCAGAGTAATGTATTTCATGACAAACGGAGAATTACTTACAAATCCAGTCCAGCTTGTAACTGTCCGAAGCCATGAATAGCTGACACATAGCCACTCTTGGTTCTGGTAAGGCACATAGAAATTTTATCTAACACTGCGCACTCACTGCATTCCTTTTAATGTTTGATATCATCAAGTTCGACGCAAGTTTATTTTATCTTTTTTTTTAGTGAAGCAGAGGTTACACTACAAGAAAATTAACATAAACAAACAAAATGTTTGTCACCCAATTTCGATGCCTAATGATGCTATGTGCCTGTTAATGTAGGCTGTACATGTTTCATTGTAAAGACAAATAAGTTATCGAGGACTACGTGTACACGAGTACTCACTGCTCAGACATCCCCTCTGTAGAGAAAGCGCACTGAAGGATGATTTCCAACGTACAGAGGCTAGCATGTTGAAACATCTCGAAACAGTCCCCATTTTCGGCGAACTCCGAAAGTTTTTCCTAGATATATAAAAGGATGTCAAATTTAACATTATATAACTAGAGGCTCATTAAATAGAAATAGTGGCCCATGAAGAGAAGTCGAAAGGATGAACGATTCTACACTTACGATCAGCTGTTCAGCTTCCTTGTTGTAGACGCTGACGTACTGTTTGAGGGCGTCGAAGTGGAAGGCGGGGGTGATGAGTCGGCGGCGCGACTTCCACACGTTACCGTCACTCAGAAGCAGACCGTTACCTTACCGCATAACGGAACAACAAGGATTTAAACTGATACACACGACTTACTGAGGTAAAATCATAGAAGCTTTCAGCTAGACGGCACCCACCATCTTTCTTCAGCTACTGATGACATTTTACATATCATAATAGACTATAGACATGGACAACATGTTCCTAATGACAGAATAGCTACACCAGTGTGACAACCATAAACAAATCATATCCAGGGACGGGGACACGTTATATTTTTACCCTTAGAATATTAAATATATGGATATGGTGGGTGCGTTTTAGTCGTCCAAATATCCTGACACTTCCTTTAACACATTCTATACATCCATCATCCATGCCATGCATATGATGGATCAAGATTTGAAAGTTTATGATACATGTAACATGAAGATACGAATCCCGGATATCTTACCTAGCCATGGTCGGAAGTGCTCATACTCTTCAGACTTCTTAGCTGACAAGCGGAAATAAAGAAAACGAGATCCTATGTTACAATGGGGTTGCATATATACTTCTTTATAATTTTTTTCTATTGACGTACAAATGTCAAAGACTAAAGATGGATGAATGTTGGTATCGCCTCCCGTCCCGGTTTAGCGAAATGAAGAGATTATGATAAAAGAGATGACCACATACATAAAAGGCTTCGTATTTAATCTTTAATGAGAACTAAAACCATATCATGATCTAAGCCCAAGGAATAAAATCTTGACTCCGCCAATACGTCATTCAGAAAAAAAAATGAATCGAGGAATCGAACATTCCATTTGTTTACTCTATATACTGCGAGCCCTCCTTACGTCTATGTTTTAGAAAACGCAGAGGAGAATACAGCATTTCTTTCTTGTGTCTTCACGATAAAAAAAACACCTACTTGAAACCCTGAGAAGCTGCCTGATGGTTTCCGGGTGGGATAGCTGCACGCCGACCATCAGCGGAGTTAACCAGAAGGCATGAGCGCGCGGGTGCCGCGCTACAACCTCACGGGTGGTGGCCAGAAACTTCTCACCGAAGTACCCCTCAGTCTGTGGAGTAACGTTTGAAACATCTTTGGGACAAACATTTGAACGTAAACAAAAGCAGCCGGTAGTCAATATGTTATATCATACTAGTATGATACTACTGTTAAACGATAATACACCATTAGAATATAGAGATGTTAACACGTATGAATCCTGTATAAAATATACATTACAATTAACGTAGTCTTAGATAAATGACACAATGACATTTAGTTAGAACAGAAATATGTACGTTTAACAAAGCTAAAAGGATCACATGTTCTCATATATAATGTTATCAATTAATTACGCAATGGACAAACTGCAAATTCTACACATTTCAAGAAGAGACGTGTAAATCATAGAGATATATAAAACATAGCATAGTTTCCTGTAGCTAACATATTGCATTTAGCCCCAATGGGGCATAAATAAAATGCAATAAAATACATCAGTGTTAGTAACGCCACTCAAGGTGTTAACCTATCCCGTGCGGTAATTTATACATATATGTAGCAATGTATCCATGGTATGCCACGCACGCTGAAAACCTACCAGATGCAAATTGCCGTACAACCAGTGGAAGGGTGGCGAGGGAAACTGTAGTCCCACAAGCTTGAACTGCCAGAATTCCCACAGAAACTTGAAGACTGCCAGGAGCATGTACACAAGTACCGGCACCGCCAGGCCAGCTACCACGTCCTTTGGGCGGACTCCTCTTAGTTCTATCATGATGTCAGTCACAGTCTTCGTATGTTGATGGTGTCTGAAAGCTAAGGATTCCGAATTCAAAATGTTCAGTCTTCGGTGCTCTGGTCCGACTGCTCTATTTGCATTCGGTTACCCCAAGGACGTTGATATAAACGCCCTTCAAGTTACATTACAAAGCCTGACTTGCAAGATATATTGACACTATATATATATATATATATAGTTACAAAGAGTGATAGATTGTAGCATTCACTTAATAAGACGTGCAAGTACTCACAGAATGACACGTTGAACCGATTGTCGCTATTCAGGTCCCCAAGCTGTACATATTACCCTCTCACACACAGCTGAGTATGTCAGTTGAAACACTTCCGGGTCTGTTATCTTAGCATGAAAGTTCATCTGTGGCTGGTTGGCGTTGACTTGTCCCCAACATGCGTGTCATTGACAGGTTCAGGACTGAAATAAATATGCTATAATGTTTATTTAAAATATACAAGATGCTAACAAATTTCCGAAATTCGTTGTTTTGATTCTGCATACGAGTTGGACACATACGATAAGGTGACAAGCCTCAGAAATCGACCATTCCAACACATCTGCTCAAAGATAACTTGTAAGCCGTCCCGTGGCAAATGGGGGGATTTAGGGGAGGACAGAACACACACACGAGTTCATGAGGCCATACGCACCATATATTACTGTTGCATATCGGAAAGTCCCTTTCAGCTGTATAGGCAAGATCCTAGTCAGGCTTGTACATGTTTGCTGGTTCTTCCGGGTTACGCGACCCATAGGGGCCTGAGTGGACGAGTCAAAAGTACTGACTTGAAGGGGGGCATGATGCTCAATTTGCTAAATGCGTAAGATCACTAATGTCACGCCCCTTCCATAGTAAAACTGATACGCGTCTAATCTGACGATTTAGTAAAGATTAACAAACCTAGACTATCGTTCTGATTAAGGAGGCCACTATATAGTATAACCTCCATGTACTGATGTTGTCACGGAAAGTACCTCTAAGCACAATTGGTTTATCCCAGTATTATTATCATCGATGACGTGTGTGTTAAAGGGGCCCGTCACACGGAAATACCCGCCGACACAGAAGTCAAACCAGTCTTCGGTGGGTATTCCCAGAATCGCTACTGTTTCACTTTCGGTCCAGTTAACGTTCTTTTAGGTAGTACGGGTCCTGTTTAGTGTTTAGGATTAAAAGACAGCTCTACGCCGCCGAGTTACAACGAACTGCTCTTCAAGTAACCCGTCTCAGGTTTCAGCTATTAGCGTCTACCCGCTATTTACTCAGGGCGACGTTAAACAATAGCAGCTTCCTAAAGGAATAGCTTCGCAAGTACGAGACCTGTAAGTATATTTGTATACGATCAGGAGATTACGAGTGGCTATAGAGTAATTAATTAACTTAATTAATTAAGTCGACTGTGAGGTCGAGTGTGAATGCTTTACGTTTAACGGCATGCATTGACGTATGGTATTGACCATGTAACTAATGAAAGGTTGTGTAGTGTAACTGAAGCTACTAGACTGCCTGGGTTTCGGTGCATGAGTCATACAGTGCTGACATTTATGTCTGTCACAACACAGAAGAAAACTTTTAAAAGGTTGTTTCAACATTTCAGTTTCCTTCATTTATTTCCATACAGATTTCCTGTCTGTCAAAAGCCTTCAGTACTATATCTATGATAATTTTCATGTCAATTTCAAGAAATGAAAAATTATGTAAAAAGTCTGATTTGAATAGCTTCATGATACCCTTGTTGATCATGTTTTTTTTCCAGTGATTCATAATTCAACCATGAAGTCAAAAGAGGAACTACAAAAATTCTGGCACTCATGACTAAATCAAATATTTCATGCATTACCATGTCATATGAAGTGACTTGACAAACTCTATATGAAGATTCAGAGATGAAAAAACAAATTGAACATGGCCCCTCCTATGGAAGACATCCGCCTGGTTCAAAACCGGGAAACAAATCTCCTGGAACTAGACTTGACTGGGAAAGATTTGTACAACATCCCAGACACAGTACTGCAGCACACAGAGGTGGAGGTTCTAAAACTTTCCTTCAACAAGCTGAAGACTTTGCCCAAAGGCATTTCAAGACTGTCAAAGTTGAAATATCTATGGCTGGACTTCAATGAGTTTGAAGAGTTTCCTGAAGTAGTGTGTGAACTGACTTCACTGGAACATCTATATCTCTCACAGAACAAACTAAGACATGTATCCCCAAGAATTGGACAGCTTCGCAATCTAAAGGTGCTCTTCCTCCACAAAAATGAGCTGAATGAACTGCCAAATGAAATATTCCATATCCCAAGTATTGTTGACTTGCACATCTCAGAAAACCGGTTAGTTGAGCTACCAGAAGACATTGGACTCCTCGAGAACCTCACGATGCTCCGTGGCTGGGATAACCAGATAAGACGCCTGCCGGACTCAGTCTGTAGGCTGAAGAAGCTCAGACTTATTGACTTTGCCATGAATCAGCTCCAGGTACTACCGGATGGATTTGGTACAGCACTGAGTGGAGTGGAAGTGAGCTTATATGGCAACCCTTTAGTGCAACCTCCCTTTGAGGTGTGTTGTCAGGGTGTTAAGGCCATCGCAGATTACCAAGATCAGCTCAGCTCTGCAGAAGACACCGTGGACCCCTGCCTTAAGATGTTACTCGTAGGCGAGACCTGTGGAGGCAAGACAAGTCTCAAGAACGCCCTGGTGCTGAACAAGTCCCAGCTAGTAGACGTGTTGAGCAGGACACACGGCATCGAAATCACACCCTGGGACACTGGTAATGAGATTAAAGTTAACATTTATGACTTCGGAGGTCACGAGGCATATTTCTTGACACACCAGTTGTTTCTGACAAACAGCGCACTTCACCTTCTAGTGGTGAATCTCAGCGCCTACCGTGAAGCCAGCTTTCAAGTGGAGATTGGAAGGTGGCTGGACATGCTCGCAGTACGCGTGCCCGGAGCCATGGTCCGAGTCGTCGGGACTCACATTGACAAGATGTCACCGGAGGAAGTGAGAGCAAAGTCTTCTTTGATCAGTGATCAGATTGTGACGTACCAGGCTGACAGAGAGGCCACCCTGCAGGTTATAATAGACAAACTTGAGCACAGTATGGCCCACCCAGCTGAAATGATTACTTCCTGCAACATGGAAACAAGTTTTCAGGAACTGAGTGAAAGACTGGACAAGGCAAAGAAAACTGCCCATCAGAAGCTCCGTATCGGACAAGTCGTGATTCCTGTCAGTTCTGCCTCAGGACTAGCCGGCATACAAGCCTTGAGGGAAGAGATTGTCTGTATGGCACACAACAGCCAGAACTTCCCAGAGCTGAGAAGAAAACTGCCCCGCAGCTGGACCATTCTGGAGAAGTTGCTCAGTGCAAAGTCTAACGAGGCAGACTGCCCCCTGTATATAACAATGGAAGACTGTATGCTCATGGGAAGCAGTGCAGGGCTCCCAACCCAGTCCTCTCTGATAAATTCTCTGAACTACCTTCACAGAACCGGAGCTGTCCTTTACTACGAAGCCTTGCCCCGGTTTGTCTTCCCTAACCCAACACACCTCATTGACATCTTCAAAGCCCTGCTGAAAGATCACGCCGAGATGAAGGCAGAATACTTCAAGATATCATGGCTGACTCCAATAGAACGACGGAGGATCGATGACAACTTCACTCACCAGGCAATCCTTCCACACAAAGTTGTCTCATCATTACTGAAGCAACACACAGGACAGAGTAAAGAGGGGCTGGACCTTCTGTTGGCACTGATGCTCAACTTTGGTATCTGCCACAGGCTTCCTGTGCCTGAGGAGAACTCTCCTGCCAGGGCATACTCTACGTCAGACAGAATGTACCTTTTCCCATGGTATCTCAGAAGGTTGAAACCCGCTGATGTTCAATGGACAATGTACCCACAGGAAGATGAAGAACACATTGAACTTGTGTGTCAGATGGCAATGCCAAGCCCATGGGGTTTGTTTGAGAGATGGTGCGTACTTTCAACAAGGCATCTCAGTTACAGACAAGCTTGGGAAAACGGCATGTATGCCTTCAGTCAAGCTGACATGAGTGTTGCTATCATGATGCAACATGTAGAGGAAGGTGGAGCATCCACTTTACATGTTGCTGGAAGAGGAACAAGAGAGTGTCTGACAACAGTGTGGGCAACAGTCAAGAGCATTGTCAGTGAGCTGCACACTCTGTTGAAGGAATGGCCAGGTATTCTCATTTATTTATTGCTAATAAATGTAGTCATGTATAAGTGACATTTCCTAAGAATGTTTTTACAATGTTCCCTTATTACATACAGTATATACAATGGCTGGGAATGGGATGGGTTGCCTTATTATATTGTAATATGTTACTCATAAAACATGAAGGCATGAAAATCTTACTTAATGTACTTTACACAGGTCTGTATACTGACACATTCATCTGCTGTGCCCACTGTGTCAAGACCCACACAGAGAGCCCAGGATACTTCAGTGGTAGGATTTCTGTCATTCAGTCCTCTGTACTTCACTGTGTTTGAAGTTGGCAGAAATTCAGTCGACTTACTATGTTACATGTTACATGTAGGAAAAGATATCATACTAAAAAATGTTGTTTCCTTGTACCAGGCGAGCTCCTCCACCACACAGCACCTGGAAGTGTCAGGTCTCTACGTTGCCCAAGAACCCGTGAACTGGTGGATGTCAGCCTTGTTTACCCTCCAGCAACTCCTACAGGTAGGGTAGTATACATACAAATGCTTCTGAGCTAAACATCATGTCCACAGTGATATTGGGAAGGGTTATTATATTAAAATTGCACATTTGTTGAATTGATGCTAGGGGTGCTACACTGTATATGTATCACAGACTGAAACTCAAACAAAAAAAGGCAAAATGTCAGTTGTCATCCAGATTTTATGTACTCATTTTCTGTGTATGCCTGTGTCCTACCTTCGAAGTAGTCATAAAGTGGGTGAAGTGAGCCATCTCTGCTTGTCTTGTCTTTTTTTTTTTTAAGGACTGAGTTAAGACACTGTCTACACCTTTTTTAGTAGTAAACTGATAAAAGGGTGTGTTATCACTATAATATCAGTAGTTTTAATTCTAAGTTTAATGTCTGTCATTTCAGATCAGCCAGTCAGCAAGGAGTGTGTACAGATTGTGTCCCAAAAGTTGTCCAAAACAAAATGGCGGCCCCTTGGACGTGCCCTTGGTTTGGAGGAAGGTGACATTGAGGCTATTGAGGTGCAACATAGCAGAGACTTGAATGAGATGAAGTACCAGATGTTGTTATGTTGGCAAAGAAAGGCAGGACAGTCAGCCGCGATGTCAGTCTTGATTTCAGCTCTCAGGAATACTGCAGTTCAAGAAAATGCAATTGCAGATGAACTAGAAACACTTGCCAAGTAAAGAAACTGGTTTTGCACTGATAGCTAATTAAATCTCTGATGACAATGGCTGTCAAGTGTGTAATCATGCCATTGTATTAAAGTGTATATTTGTAAAGCATACAGTAGATATTTACTTAGACACATGGTGCAATCTGCAATAAAAGAGGTACATGTACGTGTTGCAAGATTTTATGCATGTACTTGAGAGAAACACTGCCTTGCCCAGTAAAGACACCAGTTTTGCCTTCATCTGAAATTGTAGGTGAAAATGGCTCTCATCATGCCGTGTATTAAACTGATTGTTGTGCATATTTCTACAGCATAGATATGAATGTACATATAAATGGTGCAATATGCAATAAAAGTTGCAAGTTTTTCAATGCATGTGTGTAGCTGCATGCACAATGGGAAATGCACATTGTACATCGGCCATGTTTCAGTGTTCCCCAAAATGCACTACAGTATGTAACTACTTACATGTTTTGTGCCTGTTTTCAGATAATGTCTAAATGCACAACAGCTGTTGCAAGGAATACACAAGTCATTTAGGAACTCTAATATCATATTTAATATTCACTTTTTATACCCTAGTAAACAAACCAGTCACCACTCTCATGTTGCTGTTCTAGGGGTGCATGCAACCTCACACAAGATTACCTGCCTGACATTTTTATCATATAAATGTCAAGAACATCAGATTCTGTAATGTGTTGGTGCTCGATCACATGCAGAGAAGAGAATTTAGAATACAAAATTATGTGCTTTGAATCACACAAGCATATCTTGATGAAAAAGACACATCATTTAGCACAAGGTTGAATCTCAGCTCACTACATGTTTCTTTGCCTACTACATGTAATACAATGGACCACTGGTACAGGTACATGTAGCTGAGATATCTGGACCCAAAATGAATACATCTGCTAAAGCTTTTGCTACACACAAGACTTGGTCCAAAGCCCAAATTTCAGACTCTAGCATTTTTCCTTTGGGAGAGTACCGGCATTGTTGTCTTAACATTTAAACCAAGTGACTCTGTAGAAATCTAGCATCCATTGGCACAGTCCATCTGTATTGTTACTTTAATTTGTTTACCTACATGTTCAATGATTGCTTTGTGAAACTTCTGCCAAGATGTTTCCATCCATGAAGAAATAAATGCACAATTGTAAAAGTCCTGTTTTGTCAATACTTCAGCTGCTATGGCAGAGGGAATTTCTGTACCCATTTTTATCTTGTAGCTCTTTGTTAGCAGACATGCAATAATTTGAATTGGAGACAAATACTAGTACGTGGTGGGTCCAATTTTCAACACATGGAACCTTGCAGAGTCTGTTATGACTGGGTAAGCTTCAGAGCAGGCTGGAAGGCTGGCTGATCATTACAAGCCTGCAGCCACCTTTTCACATTAGCAGGCACCCCCGCAGCCTGGCCTGTCTGATGCAGGGCTGACCACATCACAATATCAGCTAGGGTTAACCCACTCCCAACCAACCAATCGTGCTTCCCCAGCCGAGAGTTCAACGACCTCAGGGACGCTGCCCTCTCCTTGTTGTTACCCATCAGGACCTGGGTGCTGGCCATGTCTACCCAGGTGTCGATTTCGGTGGCGGTGACGGGATCTTGGGAGTCGTAGCTTGGCTGGAGGATCCGGCCCAGATATCTGGCCACGTTGGACTCTCCGTGGATGGGGGTCTGGTATGCAGCACTCATCATCATTTGTGGTGAAGGTTTGACTGGAAAAAAAGATGTTAGACTTTTCAATTGACATGATATTAAAAACCCTCCTTTGCATCAGCATGATTGACTGTAAGTTCATCACAAAAGAATATAAACATGAGAATGAGCTCCTTTCCTAAAATTTTCCAACCAACGAGCAGTAATCATAAAATTGAAACCAGTGTTCAAGCCAGCTTGAAATTCTTTCCCATCATCTCAGTTTTCATCAATGTAACATCATCAAGCAACCTTAAATTTTGTCCCTCTGAAATGCTATTTCCTGCATGCATTTTGAGGGGCAAATCGTGTTTGTAGACTAAGCTTAGTTTATATGCTAATAACATCTCTTTCTATATCTTTACACAGCAATTTTTTGTCCATCAAAGATGGCAGATTGGGTAAAATTATTGTCCATGAGGAGTACCCAAAGTCCGTGAAATGATGGAAAGATGGATGCTGGCAAGAACACTGTTTGAAACTTTCCTTATTTATTACCATCTTTCCAAATGAGAGTGATGGCCAGTTGGAAGTCTGTTCTGTTCCTCAGGTCAGCCCTGATGCCGTTGCCCAGGCACTTACACAGGCCCTCGGCTACATTCTCCACAGAGGAGTGGACATGTACTGAACCGAAGCACCTGAACTGTTGCTTCAGCTGCTCATACAGGATGAACAGGGACAGGGGAGGGGAGCTGGGGTTGGTGTTGATGACAATATCTCGTACAGGACCCTCCAGCTGGAACATTAGAAGATTATGTTGACTCTTACGTCACTGACTACATGGACATGTTTCTGTCATCTGCACACTAATCTATTAGGAGGCCCTATCAAACTTCAAAACCCTGTTAACATCTAAAAGTACAACTGCTTTAAGTAAACAAATGCAGGTATGCCTGTAAGAATGTAATTTAAGTACATAAACTGCATAGGCTAAATCTACAACATTAAGCACACAATGAAAAACACACAATGTATATGTAGCGTTACATACCAACTAACAGGAAAGTGGTGAGCAAAGTTTTCTCTACGAAAAAGGTTCTCTCAAATGACAGGTACATTATCTAAATTCTATGTTGCCATTTCTTACTTGTGCTTGTCCACATGCAGCACCTGCGGTAGTTCCTGACACCTGCTGCTTTACAGATGCTGGCAGGTGCTCCATCATTGCTGCTACTTCTGCCTGCAGGGCGCCCAGGTCTCTCAGGATGTTCTCCTGCCTCTGTTCCAAGGCTTCAAGTGCTTGGCTGCCACTGTAGCTCTGAAATAAATACAAACATGTGGCCATTGTTAAGCTAAATCAACCCTTGAAAGCAGCAGCTTTCTGAGGATTTAGCCTAATTATACACATGAATGGGCCATCAAAACACATGCAGGTAGGTATAATTGCCTTTTAATAATGCTGAACAAGGTGTTAATAACAACTGTAACTTGTAAGCACTATAATTAACAATCTAATTTAGCAAGCACTGCAATGGCACATTTACTTGTAAAACATGTCACAATTGCAACACCACAATTTCAATCATTTAGAAGCATGGTAGCCACATATGACTGACAGCAATTCTGTACATACAGATACACAACTTGCTTTCTTACCAAACCTTCACCATGAATTTTCTTCAGCATGAATGCATTGAAAACTGCACAGTAGGCAAACTGCTTTCTTTAAGTTAACAATGCTAAAAATACATTGCATTGGTAAACTGACTTCTTGTAATACTTTGACAATATGAGCTCTGCACATTATGCTGAGCAAGATTTCATTTTTGTTGGACAAAGACCACATGCACATCTGCCATATTAAAAAACTGACAGGCCAGTCCACAATGTACAACATGCTACATGACAAAAAGGTACCATAATACAATATACTAGTACATGTAATTCTATTTCTTAACAATAACATGAAAATATCAATGCAGAAACAATGGCAAAAGCTAAAGTGACTTGCAACTTGCAAGAAATACTGTATTGCCAATATGACATATTGTACCATTGGCATTAGGGGCACTGTCATAGTCTTTGTCCATGTCAACTCTGCAACGTACATATTTTTCTTATTTGGGGCACTACTGTCTGCCTTGTGCTTTCTGTTGGGTTTGGGCTGTGGTACAGGGAATATCAACAGAACATTGTCATTGACAGAATGCAATGATCATGAATTTCATGGATTTTCAGCAAGCATCAAATTCCAAACCATTAACATGAACAATGAGCCTGCATAGCAAAGCTACATTCATCATAAAATAGATTTTTTTTTAATAGATAGTACTTAGTAGCCAGCTATCTCTAAAGCTCAGTCAGAGAGCAATTTCTACATTGCAATTGAACAATAAGGTGACTGACTTACTTATTCAAAGATTTGGTATGCACATGGAGGTAAAAGAAATATCTTCTAACTCCATGGTATGCATAATGCAATTTGTAATCAATAATTTGAAGTAGTAACTTGGGAGGGTTGGATGCAAAATTTATTTATTCAAACCAATAAACCTCATTGACAATCAAGCCAGTGTGGTCTAATCTTTGTGAAACTTACATACTAAAATGGCCAAGTCACTATTTTCAACGACAGCTATGCTACAGCGCTCTTTCAACACTGATTCAAATCTTACATCACATAATTTTAGCTAGCCCATGTACCAGGCGGCCACAGTCTGTAACACGAGTAGCCGGTTTCTGGCCAGAAATACATACCCCTCTTTGGGCACTTTTCGGGCCGTCCTCTTGTGCTTTGTGTAGATTCTTCATCTTGTACATGCACTTTGGGAGCTCTATGTTGTTAAGATCGTCTAATTTGTAGTACGGCGCTGCTTTGTACATAGGAATTCCGCTCATACTTCTGCTCCACTGGCCCGACTTGGACTGACAGAAACGTGGCTGAAAGGTCGAAGGTCAATACTTAAGTCAACTCTCGGAAAATCTCGCGTGAGTACATGGTATTAGGATGCGCGTGCTACTAATGATGCGGTTGTAACGTGTGCTCTGATTGGCCCATTTGTACCCGCCGAAGAATTGCGGAGCGCAAGATATGGAGGAATGTATTACATTTCATTATTATGTTACACATTGAGTGATATGAAATTGACAAATCTAATCTATTTCAATAGCAGAATAGGTTTACAAATGCTTATTAGACCGAGGGACGCAGCTGAAAGCCAGTGCCGGTGGCGATGTCAGGCAGGCTATTTGGACCAATCATCGCTAGCGTTACTGTTCCTGAATATCTATATGTTATTTTTCATAATTGTCTAATTTTTGCCAAAGTCTCCAAGTTTGGGGAATTTTGAAATGGTAAATAGTTACAGTGTAGATGTAACGTTCACGCTGATGATCAAGTGGTTCCAAAAACCTCAACATTTGCTAGATTCTGGCGCTTTTAGGTCACGTGATCAAATCATTTCAGAAATGGCGGCTTGCTACAGTTCCAATATGGAGGACGGAAAAACAGAGCGTGAAAACGGCAGATAGACGACAGCAGGACAGTAAACAATCGGACACAGGGACCCTCTGCACAACCGAGGTTTAGCTGGTACGGTTCAAATCTGGGGCCGAAATGAAGCGTGGCAGGGGGCGCCCGCCCAAAAGTCCCTTTGTCTCAATCGATAGCCGAGTGAAACGGTTCAGAAGTGGCCGTGGCGGCGGCGGAGATGCGGGAAGCAGTGGCGGGACGCCGGCAAGTTCCCGGTCCAGCACGCCAGTCCACTCGGGATCCTCCAGGACCCCCTCCCGGGAGATGCGGAGCCGGGCCCGCGAGGCGGCCCAGAGGAGCAAACAGCTCATCCACGAGGTGATGAAAGTGGTGGGTGGTGACGATGAGGAGGAAGATGTGGACGACTTGAGCGACGACCTGTCAGAGGAAGAGTCGGACGAGTCCGACTACGCAGAGTCTGAGTCCGCTCTCAGTGTCTACTCCGAGAGCAGCTTCAGCACGGTCAGCAGCTCCAAACGGAGGTACATCCGTCACCCCCGCCCCAAGTCCCCCGTGGTGTTCGATGATGAGCGGGAGGTCCCGCCCCTGACCCTGCCCAAGTCGGGAGAGGATCTCCTCCTCCCCACAGAACACCTGATGGACGCCATCGCGGTGTATGAAGTCATCAGGCACTTCAGGATCATCCTCCGAGTGTCACCATTCAGGTTTGAAGATTTCTGTGCCGCACTTCTCAGCCAAGAGCAGTGCAGCCTCATCGCGGAAATCCACATCGCACTGCTCAAGGCCCTGATTCGCGAGGACGAACAGAACAGCACGACATTCGGTCCTCACGACCTTAAGGACAGCATCAATATAAAAATGTATTATCTTGATGCTATGACATGGCCTGAGCTAGTACGCTGTTACGTGGAGAGTGACAAAGAATTTCGGGATGTCTTGCCCTCCTGCAGTGGTCCAGACTGGCCGTATGTGCCATTAGATGACAAGCTGAAAGTGCTCCGCCTACTGACTGACCAAGTGCTTGTGTCCAATGCTATACGTGACTATATTTACACGGAGGGTACTGTCCAGTATGACGACCACTGTCGGGTATGTCACAAATTGGGTGACCTCCTGTGCTGTGAGACTTGCTCAGCTGTGTACCATCTGGAATGTGTGCGGCCGCCCTTAGAAGAGGTACCAGAAGATGATTGGCTGTGTGAAGTCTGCGTCGCCCATCAGGTGGGCGGTGTCACGGACTGCGTCTTGGAAGCGGAGAAGACGGGCCAGATGAGCCGTCAGGAGCCGCTGGGCTACGATCGCCACGGACGAAAGTACTGGTTCCTGTGCAGACGTGTCGTGGTGTAAGTACAGTTTGATACACTTGTAATAATGATAATTAATATTGATATTTTTTTTCAGGAAGGAAGGTGCAGCTTACTGCTATACTGTTGATAAAGTTAAGATAACTAATTGTTCTTTTGTGAATCCAGGTGCTCTAAAACATTCAAATAAACCTTTTTGAAAAAGACCATTAATTTTTCTCATGATCAGAGGAGTATTTCTTTGACCACCCCTGTTGGATATTTGAGTGGAATAGTCCAGTGGTGTTTGCCACATGTCTCATGGTCATGGCTGATCCTCAGCAACTACATGTGTGCATTCACAAGGCCAGGGTAACACTAAATCATACAAGTCTGAAAATCCAGCATTACCATAATCTGTATCGTTCTGATGAAACTGCAAGAGTGGGCAGGTGTTCTCAGGTGCTTCAGGTGTTATCTTCCCCAGAGATTATGAAGCTTTATATTCAGAGACAAAAGTGTAATTAACTATTAGGGAGGTTTAGTTTGCCCATAGCCAAAGTCGAATATCAAACTAAAAGTCAAAGTCTCCAGAGACCAAAGAATGTTTATAATTAGAAATTGATCAACATCAGACCAGATTAGAGAAGATTCTAACACAACACGACATTCAACAAATGTTGATTAATATTTTAACAACTTATATCTAGAAATATAGGTACATGTTACCTGTTGTGAACCAGCACAAATGTGAAAGGTTATCCAGGGTTATAACCTGTTAGGATAGTGTGCTTTTTGTATCACCTCATCAGCATAATTTATGCAGCCTGATCAACAGGTTGCTTCCAACCTCTGGCATGATAGGATAGTGATATCTTCAAAAGGAAAGCTCGAAGGAATACACAACTGTTTATTTATACGTATCTTGAACATGTATGTGAATGTATCTTCAATTGCCTTGGAGCAAAACAAGACTGTGAGAGATAGTGTTACAGTAGGCTACATCATGAATATTCCAACTTGTCAAAAAGACCATACTGATGAGGTTAAATTGTTTAAACTTGAATGTAGAAATAGCACATACTCTGAAAATACTCATGAAACTGAAACAGGATTCTGGAAGGAACAAGAAGATATGGATGAATGCCTCTTATGCAACATCTTTTATTATATAGACGCCCTTCAGATCCGCTCAGAAGATCATGACGAATAATATTATTATGACACTCCTGCTGGTAATGTTTACTTTAGCAGCGCAGGTGTCCACAGCAGCAGACTCCTCAAACAGCAGGGTGGTAAATTGAAGATGATATTTCTGCAATGTGCTTCCTGGCTGAAAGACATATTCGCCACGGAGCTTTACTGTATATGGGATGCCAGTTTGGAATACAAAGTGGTTTTCCAGTATTTGTAGTCCAAAGATGAATCAGGAGTTTATGGTTACTCACAATGTGCAGATCAGAATGCAGCTTTTATTTGTATTACTATTAGTAACAGTATTGCCCGCTTTTATGAAGGTTGAAGAAATGTGAAATTATCCATTTGACTTTGGTAATCTGTTTAATCAGAGCTGTAGTCTCAATACCACAAGGGAATCTGGCAAGGACCTACCAGATTTTTGACCTCTTAAACCAGCAAGTCATACATTACTTATAATATGCTGACATGGCTCAAGTCAAGAGGGCTTGAAATACTGGGTGCATATGCACGTCCTCAAGCAAAGGCAGTGCAGTCTTTTTATTGCAATAATGCCAAGTGCTATTTTTCTCGAATATACATTGTATAACTTGCATATATTATGTAGAATGTTTCCAATACGTGTACTCACTATATGATGTAGATGTACATGTGTAGGTCATGTACATTGTACTCAAACATTATCACTGTTAAGCCATGGCTCTTCCTAAGGCATTCTTTAAATTCTATAACATCAGTTACATGCCGCATGACATACTTCATGCCAAGCTGATGTAATGAAAAAACATTGTGGTAACTTTGTTTTCAATATGCAATTTATACATTGCTGAGCTTCTACTAGTTCTACTAGTGATTTAACTTGATTATGTTTGTAAAATTGGGACATTAAAGAAATACAGATATACCAAGATTGAATGGTAATATGTTGCAGAGCTCAGCATTAAGGAAGGGGAAATGTTCAATTTTTCATGATAATTTTTTGGTCTGTAATTTATCTGCGTACTAGTATGCTATGATATGCATTTGACAATGTATGTCATTTTAGAAACATTATGTGTTCACATAGTCTAATACGTGTCACTGCCAGTCATTGTCATTCCTCTACCCATCTATTCTGTCCCAATTTCCTAAGTGTGTCATCAGTAGATATTGGCATTCATGCCATACACATGATGAGTTTCAGGTTCTGAGTGGTACAAATGCAGGCGTACATGTACATGTATGTAGGCGTTGAAGAAGATAGTCTGTGGCAGTCTGTGATTGAGTTAGTTTTGGTTCACATGGTTTGGAACTGAAAGGGTGTGGTCAAAAGGAAATCTTCTCATGCTTCGATAAACATTAAGTGTAAGTGAAAGGTGGTATGCCAGGTATGGTTAGCCTAAAAATGACAACAGAATGTAGAATAGTGATTTTGCATCAAGTTAATTGCATGGATATCATTTAAAGGGAATGTAATTAGTTGTGAAGATTTTGGGTTATTACTCTGTTTACTAGTACTCTAGTCTATATCGGAATATTTAAAAAAATGTAGTTCCTGATGCTTCAGATCATACATAGCGCAGATTAAGAATCTACATTGAATGATTTGAATGCTTTTCATGGATAGACTCATCCTAATGCAGTTATACATTGTGATATTACATTGTAGATATGCAGATATGCGTATTCTGGACTTGATAACTAACTTACTTTACAAGTAGAAGGATATCAAGGATATGCATCAGATAGCTAAACAAGTACATCTGATTCTGCTTTTAAAACAAGTCTCTGTAAATGTCAAAAAATGTTGTCTAATCCATAATGGCATAACAGTGACAGCCATGGCTAAATTGTACCTGTAATATGAAATAAGCAGTTGCATGTGACCTGTAAAGGTACAGTGTAGAGTTACTGTTGATGGATTACATGTTGTTACTACAGGGAGAGTGACACAGAGACCTGGTACTACAGCACCAAGCTGCAGCTACAGGAACTACTGGAGACACTGGACAGTCAGAACTATGAGAGGGACCTGTGCATGGCCGTAGAGGAGACCAAGGACGAGCTGGTCAAGCACATGGACGTCACGGAAAGACTGACCAATGAGGCACGAGGAAACCAACGCTCCATCATCCAATCCTCCAATGGTAGGTGTTGTAATGCAAATTAGCATTAAAAAAATTGTTTTGGGATATCTTTTTGTTGCAGTTGTTTAGGATTTGAAAATGCAGAAGAAAAGTATTTCAAGACCTGGAATTTATGTTTGTTAAACTTATATGCATTTGTAGACTTTTACCCCTCCAGATTCTTGGTAAGGTTATACAAAGGTGAAGTATCGTTTTATCCATATATAGAGTCATGTTGCTTAAACTTCTTGTCATTTAAACAGAGGAAATTGAGAAGCGTCTTGAGGAGAAGCGAAAACTGGAGGAGGAGAAGAGGAAGAAAGAGGAGGAGGAGGCCATGAAAAGACAGGAAGAAATGAGAAAGAGGGAGGAAGAATTGAGAGCCCGTCAGATTGGTAAGAGTGTGTCATTCTTCTTCTATCTACAAGACACAGTTGTTTTAAGATTTCAATAGAGTAGTTACATGTATTCTACGTTCTAAAAATACTTCAATAATTCAGAAAAATTGTTGGATTTTTGCAATGCTTATACATGTAGCCAGTGCATACACATGAAGCCTTTTACGAAGCACCAGCTGCGCATGCATGTGTAGACTTGGTACACTTAACAGTGACGGAATCTGATGAATACTTATACAATATACTTTCTATCATAGCCTCCAGTTTAGAGCAGCTGGCCCAGATGACTACACCTGCAAGTGGAGAAACTGGACAGGTGGGACCTGTAGCACCTGCAGCAGCTGTGACACAACCCGGGGACACTGCACCTGCATCAAATGACATCACAGCTGTCTCACAGGTAAGGGGCAGACAACAGAATTTATTTTTCGATGAGAAGTCCTTTTCTCTGGATACAACACAATGGGACACAATGTGTCATAGAAGAACGGTTCTGGTTTGATCCATTAAAACATTGTATCATGTTTGTACCAGTTGTATGTTGTATGCAAAACTTTGTGCCGTGTTGTCCTTTGAAATCGTCGGGCACTTGAGTGATAGCATTCGAAAAGTTGTGGGACAGTCTGAAAGATATCCCAAATGCAAGCTATAGAAATTTTTTTCCTTTCATTTTAACTTAGCAGACAACCACAGAAGAGACCACCACTACTACCACATCTTCAGAGACAACTAAGATGGAAGTAGCAGAATCTAGCCAAGAAGGCAGCACTGTCACCTCCAGTGTCGTACAGGTCACCCAGTCTGTCACCACCACCGTTACTACCGTCACCAAAGTGGAGGAGACCAAAGTTGAGCAAAAGAAGGATGCAGATTCCCCGCTGTCTTCAGCGGAAAGTGTCTTGGAGAAGAAGGAATCCTCACCTGACAAGACAGCTGAAGAAAAGGAGTCCAGTGGCCCTACTGTCGTCAGCTTACAGTCCATACGCAGTGATGTGAAGGAAAGGCAGCTGGATGTGACAGAAAACAGCTCTGATGACAAGGCCCTCCCCACCTCCGGTACAGCCACGTCACCTAACACTAACCCTGTACCCGTAACTTCTGCGCCAGCATCAGACACCAGCCAGCCGGTCCAACCCAAGGCGACGGTTATTGTCATGAACAAAGACGGGACCAAAGTTACGTATGCCATCCTCCCTAAGGGCACGAGCACCAGCAGTACGCCTGCTTCAGTGGCTAGTAGCACCTCAGCTACAACTCTTACAACAACCGGCGGCTCGACTTCTGCAGATGGCAACCAGACCCAGACATCCTCCTCTTTGTCTACTTCTACCACTGTCACCACAGGTTCTGATGCAGACACACCCTCCAGTTCCACTAATTCTAGCCCACCTAAAACCCGCATGGTCACGCGCTTGCAGAATCCGGAAAGCAAGCTGAGCCAGCGACTGGCTGCTGCTCCCGTGGCCAGCACGGCCAACCTAACGGGCAAGGGCGGAGGTAAGGACTCCATCCTGGTCATCAACGCACAGGGAGAGATCAAGCAGATCGACGGGAAGGGCTCCAGCATGGTCAACAACCTGTCCAAGCCCAACCTGTTCCGGTTGGGACAGGAGGGGAAGTTCCGTATGTACGTGAACCAGTACACGTCCAACCAGCTGGCGCTGAACAAGCACCAACACGCCGAGGACAGGGACCGGCGCCGCGGCCTCACACACAAGTTCTGCCTCAACACGCAGCAGGAGTTCAAGTGGCAGGGTACGGTACACGGCAACAAGGCCCTGACAGTCTCCACACTCCGCCTGACCCTCGTGCACCTGGAGAACTCCATCCCCAAGCCTTTCCTGCACCCGCACTGGGCCACCTTCCGCACCAACTGGATCAAGGCAGTCCACATGTGCACTGCACCCAAGGAGTTTGCCCTGGCCCTGTCCATCTTTGAGAGCGTGGTGAAACCATGTGTGCTGCTGAATGTATGGAGGGACTCCCTAGGACATGTCAGGTAAAATAAAGCTGTTTATGACTAAGCTTTCTGTGTATAACGTTTGGTTCAACAGTTTGATTTGCAGTATAGATATATCTCTCAAAATGTCCGGAAACATAGATATATATCTTGTCTTGAAACATCTCTGTCCATCTTTATCTCCCTGTTTGCTCAGTTGTTTGTCAATAACTTGAATCACTCAGGTTGCAGCGGGTTACAGCTCTGGAGAAGGACGACAAGAAGAAGAAGAAAGACCAGGGAAAGTTGTTTGAGGAGGAGGAAGTTGAGAATCCAGTCTATGTCAAGTACACCATCCCTCTGAAACACCAGGTTAGATAGGATAGGTTCCTTTGATTTAGGCGGTATTGTATTGTATATAGGACTGAATGATACATTTAAAATCTAAAAAAAGTGAAAGAATACAAATGTGTATTTATACCATTAATGTCAACTCCTGACAAAAATTAACAAGCCTGGGACAAAAAGGAAAGATTTTAACATCCTTGTACATGATGTGTTCTGTCTCACCATTGTGACATCTGTAGCTGTTTCAATATTGTATAATTTCTAAATCAAATAAGAAAAGTTTGGTGCTCATTGATGTCGTGTGTGTCAAATTTCTCTTGCCATTTTAATTCTTGTTTTTATATCATTTTTTTTGCATGTCTGTCTTCTATGCAGGTGTGGAAGTTAAAAGGAGAGGAGTACCGTATCACAGGGATGGGGGGCTGGATGTGGTTAAGTTCCACCAGGACCCCACGCTTCCAGCCTGCCCTCCCCGTCCCAGACACAACCAAACCCCTCCCGGGCATCAAGGATCCCGTCCCGGAGTCTTCTGTCAAGGACACAGATGCTGCCGAGAACTGCCTGGATGCCAAGGTCAAATCTGAGGAACCAGAGATCTCTCCTGTTAAACAGAAGGGTAAAGATGGAGAGGAGCCAATGGATGTGGACGTTACAAGCACGCCTGTGAAGGAGGAGAATATGGAAGTCGATCAGGACTCCCCTGCCAAGAGGAAAGAAAAAGCAAAGGTCAAAGTCGAGACTTCGAAGGGGTTGAAGCGGAAGGCAGACTACTGGGAAAAGGGTCTCGGGATTGAGACAATCAATGTCAGTGAAGGGTTGAAAAAGCACCTGCTGTACAAAAAGCTGAAGCCAACCAAACTGGACGGTTTTCTGGACAGGAGAGAGAAACAGTTTGACCTTGAACAGAGGCAGATCCTGTCTTCGGGGTCGCAGGGCATCAAGATCGAGGGACAGAAAGTTGAGGTGAAAAAGGAGGGGAGTGCAGCCGCAGGAGCAGCACAGTCTACTACAGGGTCGTCTGGAAGCCAGGCATCTGTTGCCAAAACAATGACATCGCCCGCTGCTGTCACCACGGCAACTGCATCGCTGACCTTGCCTGCATTGTCGACCAAGGTTGCCAAACCAGTACCTGCACAAACTACTGTAAAGGCAGCTCCAAGTCCAGCCACCCAGGCCAGCTCCCCAGATAAGCCAGCTGTCAAGTCGGGCCTGGGGAGTCCTGAAGGTCAGCCCAAGACCTACGAAAGTGCATTTAAAAACTTTCTTGGGATTCCCGAGCCCATCGCAAATGGAGAACTGAACTCCTCTCAGTCTCAGATGAACATCATGGTTTCCAAAGGAAAGGAATCAGGGTGTTACCAGTGTTACTCTCCCTCCTGCTTGTCAGGTGTGGGGTCTTGTTACTCCGCTTTGTGTCGGTGGCAGAGACATGTGGCAGGAAGTCATGTGGAGACTGACAAGGTAGTTTCCCCTGAAAGGACTAAGCAGCTCCTCTCCCCTGTATCAGGGAAGGCAGATACAAACACAGACACAAACACAGACCCTGACCCTACTTGTGGCAGAAAAGGTGTTCCGAATGGGTCCATTTTGGACGGGATGGTCTCCTCCAGGGGGTTCTTCTCTCCCCGTGAGCGGAGCGTCGTCGCTGTTGTCCAGCATTGCTAGTCAGTCTAAAGGGCAGGTCCCAGCAGCCGGCAGCACTGCACAAGCCGCCTGCACAGGGGCCGCAACACAGGGTACACATGCCGTGCCTAGGAATGTGCCAAGCACCAACGTGGGACCAACTTCAGCCTTTCCACAAGGCAGCAGCAATTGTGCAAGCCCGGCCGGCACAATCCAGGGATGTGGGGGGAGTGACAACTCTTCATTAACAAACAAAGCGCAGCAGGCAAGCACGCAGTCGTCGACCTCTGTTACAGAGAGAGTCCAACCGCCGTTAACAAATTGTGTTGGCTCCACTAGTCCAGCAAAGACCAAAACTACAGCTGCCCCTGCCACAGCAACAACAAACACAGCAAAGTCTCTTCCATTGGGAAATGGGGTTAGTAGTACGGTGACAACCGTAGCAAGCGGTGAGGGTGTGGTAAGAACAGTTCATACCATAACCAAGTCTGTGGTGAAGACCACGACTCAAAATTCCACGCACACAGTTGTAAGGACTCAGCAGTCGGGCACTGTCGCTCAAACGGCAACAGTGACTAGCACAGTGGCTGCTACCACTGTCAATGCCACAAAAACTGAAACTAATTCCAAAGTACTGAGTAGTGGAATTGCAAGCAAATGTACTTCAAGTGTTGCCACTTCTCAAGCATCCGCCGCGCAAGCATCGCTTACTGTTAAGAAGTCCGACGGCCATGTAACGTACTCGACCACAGGAAAGGTGTACCTCGCCAAGTTTACCAGAGTCAAGAAGAAAAAGAGTCAGAAAGTATTACTGCCAAGTAGTAATAAGTTTTCCACACGAGTAGGGAAGAAGAGTATATTTATTCTTCCTCCTCAAGAGCTCAGGAAGCTTGCCAGGCGAGGGGCAAATAAAGAAGTTGCATGCTTCAAGTATGATGCCAAAATGGTCGGTGCCCACTGGCCGTACTTAGCTCCAAGGCCCACTTTCCGGCTTGCTTGGCGGTACCATGTGCAAATACTGCGTTCGCTGTCGTCCGTGGCCTCGCTGATACGAGTCCTGTGGGCGTGTTTGCGTTGGGAGGACATGAGTATCAAACCACCGACGGGAACGTCCAACACGATTACAACAGAAACAGAAATCACGACGACAGAAATCACCAAGAGAAGAGACGTGGGGACGTTTGGTCTACGGTCAGAGTACTGTGTGAGGAAGATCATCTGTCCAATCAACACACCTTCTCAAAAAGGTATGGTGGGAATGGTGTAATAATAAATATATATCCTGTAACATTGAACTCGAAACATACATGCCTACATGACACTGAATTTTGTAATAATGTACCATGTACAATGTCTGTAATTCACTTTGTCTTCATGGTAGGACAATTTCCTTGGTGTAGCAAAATGGAACTTACTCTTCAAGGTGGTTGCAAGGGGGCAAAAGACGAACGATGAGCAGCAAATTCCGTCAAATGACAGAAAGATGGATGTTGGCTAGAGCATTGGTTCACAGAGCCGTGAAAACTGTAAACACAAAAGTACGGTGAAAAAATAGAAATCACAGTAATCACAGAAAATGCAAACTAAAGATGAATTTTTGTGTTGGTGACCTCCAGAAACCCACCGTCCCCAGAGGAAGGGGCTTCGCTCCAGTTCCCAGACACCCAAGACTGAGGCCCCCCAGCCCAGCGGACCTATGGTGATAGAAACCTGGGTACCGGAGGAGGACCTAGAACTGTGGGAGATCAGACAGTTTGCTGAGAAGTAAGGAGATTTTTGGGAAATAACCTTGGTTTTTATTATTGATGTGTATTTCATTAGCATTACCTAGGATTAGAATGTACATTGCATGGTTCGACAAGTTTTCAAGTATTAAGAGTGATGTCTGTTGTTCCAGGCTAGAGAAACAGCAGGAGCAGGTATAAGTATTAAGAGTGATGTCTGTTGTTCCAGGCTAGAGAAACAGTAGGAGCAGGTATAAGTATTAAGAGTGATGTCTGTTGTTCCAGGCTAGAGAAGGAGCAGGTATAAGTATTAAGAGTGATGTCTGTTGTTCCAGGCTAGAGAAGCAGCAGGAACAGGCCCGTCAGAAGGTGGCTCAAGCGGAGGCTGCGACCAAGGCTGAGCAAATGAAGGCCCAGCTGGAGGTCCAGCTGAAGCAGCAGAGACAGGCCATGCAGCAGAAACGTCTGCAGGAACAGGCTACCAAGACCAAAACACAGGTCCACTAATACACATTTGTTTCCAGGCTATAAAATACAGTAATTTATGACTTGTTCACGGCAGCAAAATTTCACAGTTTGAGAAAAATGGAGCTTTTCACAGAACTACAAATTATGTTCACACTGGCATTAGGTGCAGGAAAAGGAAAGTTGGCCATGGGTAATGATAATTTCGTGGTACAGAAGTGACCATAAAAACCATGAATAAACATTATTGTAAAAGTACTGTGAAAAAATCAGGAATTTTAATGTAAACTGATAATTGAGTTAACAATTGTTTCCCATCTCTACAGACACCGCAGACTCCACAATCCACGCCGAAGGTTGTTACAGTCTCCATCACCCCTGAGCAGATGAAGTTGGTACAGTCCGGCGGGGCGACGCCCGTCACCAGCATCACCACGGCGACCACCGCGGTGGTCCAGACGCCCACGGGCGTGAAGAAGGTGCAGATCCCTGTCCGCAGGATCATCACGGTGGGAGGGGCTCAGGCCGCGGCCAGGGCGTCAGCTGCCTCATCAGGTGGGTGGACTTCTGCAATACCTAGGAAAACCATGAGGGGGCTCAAAATTTAGTCATTTCTAGGTCTCATCAAAGGCATATGAATGGTTTATTGCAAAAGATATTTGTCACATTACATTGGGACATTACAATTCAGATGAGACATACTGTGAAACACAAAAGAGTTGCGTTCCCAAACGTTAGCATCTATAGCAGCGACACGTGTGCTGCTGTGCAATGTGAACCAGTCAGAATTGCCATGAGGAAGGTAACAGACGGTCACCGAAACGTTGGCTGAATAAAAGCACTTGGTTGTGTAAAATGAGTCTCTTTATTCTATTATTTGACTCATGTATTTTTGCATTGTCTTCCAGGCATTTTGGGAAGCACCAAGACAACTCCAAGTCTTCTGCCTGCTGTCTCCAAGCAGACCTTCCCACCTTACCCGAGCCAGGGGGTGACAGCCACCCTGTCCACCACCCCCACATCCACAACAATGGTACGGCTCCCCATCTCACAGCTGCAGCAGGCTGGAGGCAAGGTAGGGGCTGGAACTAATGTTCTGATGTTGCCCAATAGAGAGACCCCAAAGAGCAAACTGAAAAGATTGGTCCATTTTTATTGTTATGAGAAATATGCAATAGTAGGCCATACCAATTTGAATCGTTGGTTCTTGGAAAAAAATACTGGAAAAACTTGATGTAACCAAACTCTATCTGAAGACCAGGTCTATTACATGCCTTGGTACACTCAGTTTTATAGAGTGAATACTGACAAATTGAACTTTAAAGTTTCCTCTCTGCCCACTGCTGTTATCATGTCTGCCTTCAGTATTTTTACCTTGATAAACTAAAGGAAATAGATTGGTGTGGCCCAGGATTAAAAAAAAGAAAGCAAAAAATGGAATGTATTTTGTCAAAATGCCATGAAAACTGTGTTCTATTCTCGTCCTGTTCCCTCAGATTCAGTTCAAGACTGTGACAGTACAGGCCCCAGTCCTGGGCCAGGGCCAAACACAGGTCATCCAGGGTCAGGGTGTGTCAAGTCAAGGTCAAGGTCAGGTGCTGCAGGCCCACATGACTCCGCAGGGCGTGCTCCAGTATCGCCTGATCAAACCCACAGGCCAGGCAGTACAGGCACAGGTGGTGGCCAGCACACAGGGACAGGCTGTACAGGTAAGCCTGTGGGAAGGGTGTTCTGAGAGGGGTAGGGACAGGCTGTACAGGTAAGCCTGTAGGACGGGTGTTTGGGGGGGGGGAACAGGCAGTACAGGCACAGTTTGTATCCTTTGTAGTAACATGGATACCAATGTGATGACTACTGCATATCAGGAATCATTCAGTACACTGACCATATGCTAGGATTTGATTTACAAGTATGAAAGATTGATTTTCTTCCTTTTTTTGCCAGTCCCAGACTGCCCAGATCCAGGTGCAAGCAGGTACAACCAGCCAGACGGTGCAGGTGCCTGTCCAGACACAGCAGCAGGTGCAAACACACCCGCAGGTGGTGGTCAAGCCCTCACAGGTCAGTACAGCAGCTGCATAGCACTGACGATTACAGTTTGTACAGTGCATTGTTGTACATCGTAGATGTCTAGTGTCAGTGCTGGTTTGTTTCCTTGACAAGTACATGTACATGTATGTGCTTGGTACCATTTACTTTCAAGGTCTCTAGTTCACCATTAAGAGAGTCTGCATACATGAATAAAGATTAAAACATGAATATGTAGTTTCCTTTTGTGAGGGTCAGTTGGCTAGTAATGCGATTTACAAAACATTTATGAACCTACATGTTTTCTACATACAATGTACAGTATGAGTATGTTCATATGTTTTCCCCTGCCATGACTTCTTTTGCTCTTGTTCCCAGAGTGGTGCTGTGCAGGGTACAGTCCAGGCCCAAGGTCAGGCTGTCCAGGGACAGCGTCTCATCCTGCCAGCTGTCAATACTCAGGTTTGCACACACTGTTTATACTCCTGGTGACAACCATTAGTACTTGTTCCACTGTATATGGTAGAGATAGTCCCATAGCCTTTTTCAGGCCATAGGGGCAGGAGGTTGTTAATCCACTGTGTCAGTCTAGGGCACAGGTATTGGAAGGTGGAGCCCATCCCTCTTCTGTCACCAACTGTTACCTCCCTACCAAAGTCAGGCACCCATTTTACACCTGGGTGGAGTGAGGAAAGTGATGTAAAGTGCCTTTCCAAAGGACACAACCAGGAATGCCAGGAATCAAACCCATGACCCCTCTACTTGGCATTCGATGCCACGTTATTTGACTGTGTTGAGCTTTAAAGTGGTCCAGCTGCCACCTTTTTACAACCTGTTCTGATTCATCCCCAAATATACTGTTTCCCTCAGGGTGCTAGTGTCCAGACCAGTGCGGCCTCTGTGTCCGGTCAGGTGTCTGGTCAGCCGCTGCAGGGCCAGGCCACGGTGTCCCAGACCCCCGGCATGCAGACCCAGCCGCTCAAGATCCAGACTGCCCAGGGCCAGACCATCGTGTTACAGCCACAGTCCCTGGTCACTCCGACTGGACAGGCACAGCTGCTCCCTGGTCAGCAGATCTTCAGGGCCACCATGCCTGACGGAACGGTCAAACACTTCATCATCACACCCAAGATTGTCACTCAGAGTAAGTCAGACCAACCAACTGTTCTCGTGTAAGCCAAATGGTATTCACATGATGAACACTATTTCTTTAAACATGCTCAATGCAGTTTTAGGGCTTGAAAAACAGATTTGTCAAAGTCAATATTCTATTTCTAGTCACTTATCTATGTACTAAGTTGAAACAACATTATCCCAATATCGACAAAAATTGTGACGGAAAATGGTTACTAGTAGAATCCTGGGCTGATTTTTAGTGTATCATCCAGAAAATAAAGGACTCATCTTGGGGCTTGTTTCTGTGCCGTTTAAATGCCCAAAGTATGAAATTTTGATGCAAATGTGCTAATGTGGAAAAGTATGTGTCAATATCATATAGATCGCCTTATTCAAAATATTCCAGGTTTGCCATTATGAAGTCGCATTGGATGCCTTTCATGGCTCCAAATATCATACAGTACTGTGGTTTGGTTTAGTTTCTGAATATTTTTCTTGTGTTCCCCCCCTTCATCTCTTGCAGCCGTGCAGCCGACCACCAGCACACCGCAGCCCATCAAGAACGTGGTGAGCCTGCAGACGCCCAGCGTGCAGCAGAAAATCCTGCAGATGCAGCAGCAGCACCAGCAGCAGCAGCTGGCCGCCATCGCTGAGGCACAGAAGAAGGACAGGGAGCTGCAGCAGAAATACCAGCAGCAGTTGATGCAGAAACAGGTAGGGGGCTCTACTTGACTTAAAACCGCATTGCCAGATAATGAAGAAAGTAAAAAGAAGTAAGTAGTAGCCATTCCTAGCAGGACCATGAATAGTGCAACTTTTACACAATGTACTTATTGTTTGTTTTATTGTTTTTGTTTGTTTTATCTTGTTTTTATAGTAGTGAAGAAAGTAAAATATGATTGCTGTTTTAGTCAGATACATGTGCGTTGTGAATACTTAAGTCCAAATTCCTGTGAAGTTGATTGTTTGTATGGATGTTTTGGTTGAAAGGAAAAGGGTAGTAAGGAATAAGCTTAACAGTATCCACTCTATAATTTTGACCTGCATAGTAGATAATGTTGTTGTATCTACATTTCCATGTGGTGCCCGAGCTTGTGTCAAACGAACAGATCAGCTGCATACATTGTAGATGGCAGGACAAAAGTTTTACTAGTTAAAACCTGTGTAGACATGGATTATCATATATTTCCTGATAAACATCACTTTTTTTTATTGTCCGGTATTTAGGGTACCCTTTAAATCCATCAGAAAGAGAGAAAAAGCCAGGTTTATTGTGGTTGCTTGAAATTTCAAAGACTGTTGCGTAGAAAGCAAAATATCTGCCTTCTGTACCAAAAAACATAGCGTGGAATTTAGTAAAAGTAGCACACACATTAATCCTACTCTTATTTCTCATTTCCGGAGCTTTCTGATTCACCATTGGCAGTTGGAAAACAAGCAAAGGTACGGCTGAAGTACAGGTCAAAACATGCCATCAAAAAACAAATTTACCAACAACATCAGGCCTAAAACTGTATGCAGGAAGGACGACTACTGAAAAAAGACAAGGCCCATGTTTTTACCTGTAGTTTGAGTTTGTTTTCTTTTAACAGTGTGGATTTATTTGAACTTTTAGAATTGTGAAAATTCTACGTTGTAGCATGCCTGTAAAGTGGCCTGATATTCTTTTTTCACTGACCCTGTGTGCAGTGCACTAACACATCCGTGATTGTAGTGAAAAAATATTTCAATCCACTGCTAGGAAGAACCCTTGGTATGCTTGTAGATGTTTATTTGGGCAAAAGTTCTCTAAAACTAAGACAAGGGAGTCATTAAAAAATCACAGGTGTTTGCAACCTAGTCAAAAATATTTCAATCCCTCTGATGTCACAATATGGTTTGATTCTGAAAAATTATGTACAGAAAATAGGAACCTTTTTAAAGTTTGTGCTTTCCAACTGTGACAAGCTTTATCATGTTGTACATCAAGACTACATGTGCATGCATTTTGTACTGTATACATGTACATGTACATAATACATATTATGACTAAGAAGACACTAGTTGTACTGATAAAAAAAACTTCCTTAAAACTAAAAGAGATGCCTATTGACTTACTTGATAAGTATGGTCTACAATCACATTTTGGACAACTGCAAAAGTATTTTAGTTTATGTTAATTCCATGCCTGAAAGGTATTTCATTGTGTAAGATACTAACACTAACAAGGTTAGGCAGTTGGAATACATCTTCCCTTGGTAAGAAAAGATCTACCTTGCATCTATTGTGTGGTTTTCGAAGTAGACTTTAGAAAATAGATTTGTGCTTGGTTTTGTTCGCACAGGTGCAAATTAAGCAGAACAAGTTGATCGAGAACCTCCGTGCCAAACAGAAGACCCTCACTCCAGAAGAGAGGGAGGACAACCAAAGGTGGGATAGCGGTCCTATAGCATTAGGCTCAAAATTCTTTTTCTGCATGTGAAGCAGGTAACACTGAAAATTACCTGTACCAGACAAACTTTACCTGCACCACTCAGAATTTTATTTTTTTTTAGGAAGTATGGATCATACGAAAAACTATTCAGAAACCACTGCCATTACTTTTATCACTTCATTCAAAACGTAGACGATTCCATTCAATTACACAAAGGAAAATGTACATACAGCACTCCGATGTAAACCCAGTACATGGACCAGTGCAGGTTAGGTGCAGGTAGTCAGAAATACCTGCACAGCTAAAAATTTTACCTGCAATTGATTGGTATTTCATGCCCTATATAAATACGCCCCCACCCTCCAAAAAAGCTAGTATGAAATACATGTTAGCAGGTGATACTTCCCCATGATTTAAATAATCATGTATCTGGTAGACCCAGCTTATACAAGAAATTCAATAAAATTGGGTTGCAAAATGCTCAGTGTGAGAGATGTTAAACCATTGTTCTACCCCCCTCCCCTCCCTCCAGGATGATAGTGTGCAATCAGGTCATGAAGCACATCCTGGACACGATAGATCGCGAGGAGAAGGCCGACCAGAAGAAGCGCAAGAAGGAGGAGACAGCGGAACAGAAACGCAGCAAGGTCAGCATCTTGTGTACAAATGTAGCTTCATGTCATACACTCTTTCGACGCATAATTTAAGAACTGGCTGGATTCCGTCTCAGTGCTGTCATTGTCCCAAAGCTTCGATTAAATTCTGCTCTGTTAAACATCTTTTTACTTCCATGTATGGAGGTATTGTTTTCTGTGTGTCTATTTGTGTGAATGCATGTGTTTGCGTAGTCATTGGGCGCATTGACACAAAGTTAGGCCAAAGGTCTCAGAAAAGGCTATCTTATTTGCTGCCTTCAGTCCCCTGCTGTATGGAAGTTCAAAAACTCTTCAGTATCTCAAAGAGTTATCAGATCTCAACAACAGAGGTATGTGCAGTTGCAAGCATTGCTGACTCTGGTAGATAGTATAATATAATGTATCACTACGTATGGTACAGTAAACATTGAAGGATATCATTGGTTTTACAGGCCATGGCTCTGAAACTGCAGACAACGCTCTTCAAGCACAAGGAGCAGCTGAGGAAAGACATGCTGAAGAAACGTTCTCTTATGGAGAAGGAGATCACAAAGGAAGTTCAGGTAGGGGTTAGTGTCTTTGAATAAGCATTCCAAATATATAAGAAACTAAAGTGTATAAACTGGAAAGAAAATTTTAAATTACACAAGAATGAAAGATAAGAAATAAGAACTATTGATGAACTAAGATGACAGAAGAAAATTTTCTATAAAATTACAAATATGTAAAATACAGGTTTTTAAGAAATTATTGCTGATTCTTGATGCAGGATGAACTGAAACATGAGCTTAAAAAGAAAGGCCACAAGAGAAAGGGGAGCGAGACAGCCTCCTCCGGTCTGGAAGACACACCCAAGAAGAAGAAGAAAGCAGAGAAGTCTGCGAAGACTGAAGGGAAGTCTAAGATGATCCGAACCAGCCAGTCAGGGAGGGACAAGGACAGGAAGCTGTACTGTGTGTGTAAGACACCATACGACGCAACACAGTGAGTACATGACTTGTACATGTACATAGATCAGTGTGTCTTTCAAAAGGACTCCTTTTATAGTCCATGTATAGACTACATTAAGTTGGCTAAGTCATAGATGGTGTTTGGGGTTTACTCTAAGTCTTGTACAATAGTGGAGATATCCGAGTTTTTAGATATAAAATTACATTGAACTAGACCTAGCTGATAAGTGAATCACCCCACGAGGCAACAGAAGCAACACCCAGGCTCTGATTTTCCCAGGTTCTACATCGGGTGTGACCTGTGCAGTAACTGGTTCCATGGCGTGTGTGTGAACATCACGGAGAAACAGGCAGAACAGATGGACTCCTACACCTGTCCTGACTGCAGCCGGCTGACTGAGGATGGAGAACAGGAGCTCTACTGTCTCTGCAGGACGCCTTACGATGAAACACAGTACGTCTGCCACTGACTGAAGTGGCTACACACTTATCATTCTTGTGAATGTTTAGTTACATTTTTGTACCTTCACCAAGAAGGTTTTGTTTTCTGGGAAGTGCTTTTGTTTGTTTGTTTGTTTGTTTGTTTGTTAACAGCATAAGTCAAGAAGCTGGATCGATCTTAATAATATTTGGGTTGTACTGGTGTGGTATGATAAAAACTGTAAATGATTAGACATTGGGCCCCTTGTGGCTTTCCACAGTACCGCAGTGGAAGTTCTGGTTTTGATAGCTCATGTTCTAAACATGCTAGTGTATTTCATCCATGAGTAGTTTCATCAGGCTGGTACATTTTGTACATTACTGCGTGAAGAGACTTTTTTTACACAACCAAGTGTTTTGTTCATCCGACATTTCGGTGACCGTCTGTCACCTTCCTCAGGGCAAATCTGACTGGTTGTGTTTAGATTCTTTTCATTCAGTGCTGATGTATTTGTTATGTGTATTATGATAGGTTTTAAAGTCAAGAGAACGTTGAGATTTACTTGGTGCATTTTTTCCCAGGTTCTACATCGGTTGTGACCGGTGTAATGACTGGTTCCACGGGCGGTGTGTGGGCATCCTGCCGGCCGAGGCAGACGAGATCGACTACTACATCTGCCCCAACTGTCAGTCATCCAAGGACATGCAGATGCACAACAAGTCTCTCAGCGACAAAGACACGGACCAGCTGAAACGACTTCTCAAGTCCCTACAGGTTGGCTTAGTAACAACACTAGTTTAAAGTTAAATCTTTTCTTCCAGCACAAAAAAAAAATTCTTCTCGCCCAGAGCTTTCGACCAGTCACTTTGGTCTTCTTCAATAGTAAAGTACATACATGCATGCAGAGTAACTTTGAAATGAAATGTTTTTTGTAATGTTTGTTTCTACAGTCTCACAAGATGGCCTGGCCCTTTGTAGAGCCAGTGAGTGAACTGGAGGTACCAGACTATTATCAAGTCATCAAGGAACCAATGGGTGAGTACTGTAATTAAATGTGCTCAGGTAGTTGTGTGGCAAGAAACTTGGCATGTTAGCGTGAACGTTCTTCCATGTTAACTTGGTAGTTTACATAGTACATATTAGTATGATAGTCAGAAGTTTTCACGTTCCCTTGGCAGTTAGTACAGATTCAAGTAGGATAGTCAAAATGTCCTAAAATTTTCAGACTCCAATCGGGATCTCTTTTTCTGCCAGATTGTAATGTCTACCATGACATATACTCCGAATAAACTATTATTCTGTCTTACACATGTATGTCAACTGTCAAGACTGTTTGCTTGTAGTGTAGTTTTTCTGCTCTCAACCTGCTGATATTACATGTTCTGTCCATTGTTCTTTGTGCAGACCTGTCAACAGTAGAAACACGGCTCCGGCAGAAATATTACAAGACCCTGAACCAGTACGTGGCCGACATTTCCAAGATATTCGACAACTGTCGCTACTACAATCCCAGCGACTCGGCATTCTGCAAGTGCGCCGAGGTTCTCGAAGGATTCTTCCTCCAGAAACTAAAGACTGTCAAATCTCGCTTAGGAAGCTGAGGGACTTTACATAACATGTACAGAATTTTTGATATGGTTGATGAATTGGTTGAAAGACGTTAGCGAGAGACGGTTGTAGAGAAATCAGTTTTATGATAGTAAGATTTGTATTTGTGGCCTTTTCATGTTGATATAAATGTATATTACTGTGACGTGGAAAGGAGGAATCTATAGAGGTTGTTCACTTTTGTAACTGGGAAAAAGGAAGACGGAGATGGCAAGATGTATTCAGGATGTGTGAAGAAGTGTGAAAGTAGAGGTATTTATGTGAAATTGTTTGTAAATAAAGCTGCATTATGAATGCTTTTGCTGTAGGATATTGCTGCAACAGGATAGCATATTGCATTCATAGCTTAGAGATGCAATCTGAGAAATTTTGTGGAATGTCGACCAGTTTTCAAACTCCAAATGCACCTTTGAGATGGGAACTTTGTCTACCAGTGCCAGATATGTACTGTATTTATTGTCGACATTATTTATACTTGTGCAGTCAAATCCAAAATGATGGGACAATAGCTGGCCTCTGAAGACAGCTTTGAGTTGAACTATCAAAAGTATTCCTGAAGCTAGAAACATCTCACTCTGGTTTTTGCTGGGCAAAGAGGTACTTCTTCTAACATGTATCAGCATTTGTCAACTCTTAGTACTTTTGGACACTAAAATTGTTTAGCATCACTACTCCCTTATGTCAGTGGCACTATGTTCTGTTACAATGAAAATCCAAGGACAAAACATTCTCTTCCTCAAAAAGCATATTATTAAACAGTACACATACTTGTACACAGTTACCTGTCAATTTGGAAGAAAACTGCCTTCCTTTTCTGGCCAAATTCTGTTCATCTCACTGCAAAGAAGTACAGGCCCCAATCTCATGTTCTGTCTTTTCGGGAAAGTCTAGCCAACAACTTTGAAAGGAGAGCAAATTTTTTAGCAAATTAATTGTCAAGCTCTTGCAAAAAGTGCTGTAGATATGAGTATTGTCCAGAGCATGATGACACAATGTGGTGTCAGAGGTGCTGCATATGAGAATGTTCCAAGGAGGTTACCATTGTATATCATATCCATATACTATGGTTGACACAATAGGCCATGTAAATAGACAGGCATTGCCTTTGCACTTGTCTGTACTGGGAAGTTGATATGTTCGCACCAGATTGACAACAAAAACTGTTGTATTGTATAGTTCCTTAGTTATGTGAAAATTATGGTTAGACTTTTCTTATTAAAGTACTTTGGCACAAGCAGCTGGTATGTGCCAAATTGTTGCACAGTCATCCAAAGGCATAGATTAGATATACATGTAGCACATAGCTTTATTCTTCTGCTTCTCATTACAAAGTCGTTATAATTAAAGATACCACTTTTTCTTTCATTTTGTATGAAGTATGTTTAAAAGCTACAATAAATGTTACTATAATATGTATTTCCTGTATCACAGGTTATTGCCATTATGGGTAATTTTATCTATGTACGTCACTACATGTAGGTTTTAATCGCAAATGACTGAGGTGACGTTTTAATGGGTGTGGTGTAGGTGAACCCCATATTTCATAATACTGTTTACTGACCTACAGCATTAGCCTGAGTGTCAGCCTTTTTAGCTTTTGTCCGCTCCCCACGATCCGCTACCTCTCAGGCTACTACAGCATAACGTGCAAACTTTGCATGGTACTTTAGACTCCTCATCAAGTAATGTTTTGTACATGAGAAAGAAAATGAACACAACAAACTAAGGACTAACGTAACAAATTAAATTGCCCCTTTTCGTGTATCATACATGTTTGAAACAGCATGTTCCCGAAGAAGTTACATGTAGTTTGGACGCCTAGAAGTTTTCAATTGGTGAGAAAAGCTGTGGACGTGACCAAATTTTCAGATGGGTAATAGCTACTGGGCCATAACCCATGTCAGACGTGAGACTGATACAGTTCATTAGTTAGCGTGCACTGCCGGTATGTGGATAGGCACACGGTGATAGGCAGGTACAGACCCAGTAGGCCAATGGGTCACACCTGTACGTCACATGACAATGTTAACCCTACCTAGACGGGGCTTTTTTTGACATGGGGGGACCGGGGGGGGG